ACGCCGGGATCAGCGGAATCCAGCGAAAGGGTGAAGGCACAGATGAAAAGGGTGGCTCGGGTCGAGGTTTCGCCGAGCTGGTCGCACCGGCGGAGATTTGATTTATATGTTAATCGCCCGGTGGCGAGGCCGATGTCGGGCGAGCGCGCAGGCTGTCGTGCTACTCTTTTACCCCCGTCGTAACAATCCTCGAAATATGGCGTATAAGTAGACAGCGGTGCCTGCTGTCGCGTGCTCCCGCATATCCCTCGGTATTGCGGAACCGTTTGACCTGGTACAGTTCCTGGCTACCTTTAAAGATATTGCTACGGGACGTTGCATATATTTCTGCTTGCCTACGGAGATATTTATTTACTGGGTTCTTCGTGCAAGCGCTCTCTGCTTTCCAAGTTCTACATGCGATTCCGATTTGACGAGAGACCGTCACGAAGAAAGGAAATTCTAATGTTTTTAATTTGAACAGGTCTAACATATGAACGAGAAGTCACGTGCACTAATGATTTCTTTTTTATTTTCATCGAATTTAGGGAATTTCCTAACTGTGGAGAAACTATGATTTGAAAATGATTCAAAGAAGGAATAGTAGGATTAAGTATTTCGTTGATCAACTATGAAGAAGTATGATTCGATTAAAAATTATTCGTAAAAGGTGGTAGAAGAATTAAGCATTTTGTTGGTCAATTATGGAGAAATATGATTTGATTAAAAATGATTCAAAGAAGATGGTAGGATTAAGTACGTTGACTAAGTATAAAGAAATATGATTTGGTAGAAAATGATTCGAAGAAGGTAATAGGATTAAGTATTTTGTTGATCAACTATAAAGAAGTATGATTCGATTAAAAATTATTCGTAAAAGGTGGTAGAAGAATTAAGCATTTTGTTGGTCAATTATGGAGAAATATGATTTGATTAAAAATGATTCAAAGTAGATGGTAGGATTAAGTATGTTGATCAAGTATAAAGAAATATGATTTAGTAGAAAATGATTCGAAGAAGGTAGTAGGATTAAGTATTTCGTTGATCAACTATAAAGAAGTATGATTCGATTAAAAATTATTCGTAAAAGGTGGTAAAAGAATTAAGCATTTTGTTAGTCAACTATGGAGAAATATGATTTGATTAAAAATGATTCAAAGAAGATGGTAGGATTAAGTATGTTGACCAAGTATAAAGAAATATGATTTGAAGAAGGTAATAGGATTAAGCATTTTGTTGGTCAACTATGGAGAAATATGATTTGATTAAAAATGATTCAAAGAGGATGGTAGGATTAAGTATGTTGACCAAGTATAAAGAAATATGATTTGGTAGAAAATGATTCGAAGAAAGTAGGATTAAGCACTTCGTTGATCATTTTGATAATTGCAACTGACGTGTACCATGTTGGAAATACCAAGTTTCTTAAGCGATAATAGATGATCATTGTACTTTAACCTTTCTGTATTTCTGATAAAATAATTAATGGCGCATCGTTGCAAATAATATTGTTAATCGAAGCAAAGACACCTTTAATAAAGGATTATTAAAGGAGATTACCTCGCTATTTAATAATCTCCTTCTTCTACATTTAACTTCATATCTGTCAAAGATAAATTATACGGTTTCCAAGAAATAAAATGTTCTTCAATTCCACGATCGAGAAATTTCTAATCAAAGCATGATCCCGCTGGTAGATTAAACTAATTCCACGCGACATAATAAAATACAATTTTTGCTTCCTAATCGTTTCTTTCAACGTGTCGTTTTATGCATCGCCGACAAACATCAGTTTGTTAATTCTCATTTGCAAGGATCAAGTCCAGTTCCATCGATTTCTTCTTATCGACTTTCTAATCCTCATTTAAGACAGAACCCCGTTTAACAGATTAAGCCAGGAGCAGAGAGTGCCCAGATCTAACATCCTTCAGTTCGACAACTGGCTAAAAGCGCGTTCGAAAAGACAACCGTGGTGAAGAAGCGACCAAGAAGCGTTTCCTAGCGCGACGCTTCGGCTTTCAACGCGAACGTTCGAAAGAGTTTCCTCCAACCAAGGCGAGGAACGTTCCTCATTTCTTCTCCTCACCGTTATCCAGGGAATCGAGCGCGACCACCACGTTCCGCTCGATCGTAAGTCCGGCTTTCAACTCGTTCCACCCGTGAAATAATTGCAGCAAGAATTTCTATTAGAGAAGTTCTGCCGCGGAATAAGCGGGGTTATCGTCGAACAGGGCGAAGAAAAAAAAAGGTGAGAGAGAAGGAGAGAGGAGAAACGAGAAAAAGAATCGATGGGACGGGTATTGAAAGTCGCTCGGATCGAAAACTAATTAATTAGCAATGAACCGGACGATATCGATGGAATTCTTTGCTACCAAAGAAATGCTACGAAACTCGTGCCCGATTCGCCCCTCGCGAGTTGTCTTCACGGTTTCGCCTGTCTTTCGCGCGGGGGAGTAGGGGGAAATTAATCGAGCCAGCAGTGGAATTCGAAGATCGTACGGATCTCGTCATCGACGAGAACCAATTTTCCTAATCTTCCTCCTCTCGAGCGTCTGGCTAACTGGTAACGAGATAACAACGGGACGCGGAAGCTATCGCGCGAGTCGATCGATCCGCAGTAATCCTCGACGCGATTGAAAGAAGAAGAAGAAGACGAAAAAAAAATAATAATAAAAATAAAAATAAAGAGGGAATCTTATCTGTTCGAAACTGTCCTAAATATTTAGCCGTGGATTTTGTCGCTTATCGATCGCTACTTGATTTTTACCAGATAAATCGGACATATCTGCGGATCGTTGCATCGTGGAGATTTGGAGCAATAAATTGTCGCGATAACATTAAGGAATCTCGATGCACGGCAGCAAAATGGGAGAGAAAGACAAACGGTAAAAAAACAACACGAGCGAAATTATTAAAAGATTAAGTTGATGATTAATTGGTATCGGGGATTAAGAGAGAGAGAGAGAGATATACCGAACCAATTGCTCAGCAATAGCTGTTCACGTTGTAGCGAAACGTGTGCATCTCTTCGTCACGCGTGCACGAGGCGACTGATTAACGCAGCTTCTGGAAAATTCGCGTTCTCACGCGTAAAGGTGGCCCACGTTCCGAGCTACGTGTTTTGTTCCTCGCGTTGGATGCTGTTATAGTAATCAAATCTGGTGGACCGTATTAGACACGGCACACCCTTGGTAACGCAATGAACGGTAATCACGTTTGGCACCGTAATAGCTAGCGCTGAAAGACAAAGAGAAAATACGGTGCAAAGACGTTGGATGAGATCGCAGATACGAAAATGGGTCTTACGAATCTTAGTAACGAATCTTAGAACGAGGGGTCTTAAGAATCTTAGTAACGAAATTCCAACGAAGCTCTAATCCTCGTGAAAACAGATGGACGAGGAGTTGGGAACGGGCAGAGGATCTCTTCAGCGAGGAGATTGCGCCAAGTATCGTTGTGACTCCGTTGAAAAGAATATCGAAATCAACGACCACGTCGCGATAAAAATCGTTTCTCATCGAGAAGCGAAATGCAACGAACGATCGGCGCGAGAGAGCGTATAACGATAAAAGAGAAAAGAGCAGAACTAATTTTGATTGCGCGCGATTGCAGCGTGGGATTCGATGACAAAGCGAATAAAGCCTCCGGGGGGAACAGATTACTGCAATTGACTTTTTAGAATCGGTACAAGCTAATACCACCGTTCGTGGTGTTGCGCTTTATTCGGCGTGGAATGTGCCGGGGCGACGTGCGCGACAATCGTGCCCGGCTGCAGGATGTTTAATCGCAGGACAATCGCTGGCGATCCATATATTTGCTGACAAAATGTGTAAATCAACGTGTGCAATTAGCCCTCAAATTCTAACGACCGATCGCGGCGCGGGTAATCGGTCCCCGGTCGCTGATAATATGCCGTGAGAATAGTCATCGTGTCAATTGCAAATTTAGATAAATCTGGCGATGATGACGATGATTTACGATAATCACTGAGGGAGGAGGGGGAGAGGGAATTGTTGAGATGTCGACGACAGTAGTTATATTTAAAACAACGATGAAAATGATACGAAATGACGGAGAAAGAATAAAGAGACGAGGATTTTAGATTTTGTACGGTATTTTAAAATTCTGACAATTTCTTGAGAAACGGTAACCTTGAATTTAATTCCGCAAGGGGATAGACTTCACGTTTGAAACAACACGTGAATTTTAATAAACGACAAAACGTTATTATCGTAAACGTTATTACTAACAGCAGTATATAATTTTTATATTATAAAATTTTGCATCGATTATTAAAAAACTTATTTTCTGAATTAATATACGAATATATTTTACACGTAAGAAGATGAAAGATTGAGATACTAAAACCGTTGCGAGTTTAAGGTACCAAAAATGAAAATAAACCCATATGTTTCTTATTAATATTGCTACAATGAGAAGATTTAAGAAATAATATTGTCGAGAGACTATAATTATTCCCGTTAGATTATTAAAATTTACACTATTTCATTTTATCTCGCATTTTATATTCCCCATGACAGAGAGATTTTCAATGAAATTCAATTAAGTTCCCGAATTACCCGACACAATAGTAATCAACAATTTGTATAAAAATTCACAATTCTACGTCCCGATCATTCACAAATTTGCAACGCGAAACACGAAATATTTTCGACTCGATTCGTAAAGAGATTTCAACCTAACAGCGGGAAAAGATCAGCGAGGGCAATCTGTTGCGAGAGCTCGTTGCGAGATCGAGCTCTATTGTGGTCGGAGAACGTGGACGGGGAAGAGCGAAGATCATTGAAAATTCCTTATCGAGCAACGAGTGCCTGTTCATTCAAAATTCTATCGTTCCTCTTCCCATACTGTGACACAACTTTTATCTCGCGATATCGTTTGCGTCTGCGAGAAAGGCATAGATTCTCTTATGCGACGCTATTCCCCTTGTCGCCTCCCTTTCCCTTTTACGATATTACTTATTGCCTGTACCACACGCCACTTGGACGACGCTCCGTTGTATTGTTGTCAGATAAGGATTTTCTGCTGAATCAGAGTAGCAAGTTTCCTGTATAAAAGCTCGTTCTCCACGCGCAATCTTCATACCAACGCAAGATGTTCCGAACCGTTCTACTTGCAGTCCTCGTGGTCGAGAGCCTCGGTGAGTGCGAGAGCAAAGGGATCTATTTTCTTTTTTTTCACTGCGTAATTAAATTCAGAGTAATACGTCGAGAGTGAAATAGAAAGGTGTACGTCGGGGAATTGGATTGATATTTTGAAAGTTTAATTTTATGAAAATCGTTGAATTCTTTTAGCCTTTCCTTTTTTTTTTTTTTTGATTCATCACGGTGCAATTAGATACGATAGGTGCTCGCAATGTATTGCGAGTGTAATAGAGGGGGATGAATTGGAAAGTTGGATTGAAATTCTCGATGTGATTTTGTTATTGGTTTTGACAAGTCTAAAGAGTGGAATAAAACGAGATAATGGGATTGAAATTTTAAAAGCGTTCGCGTTGCGAGTTTGAAATATTTGTGACGTTATTGCGATACACGAATAATTAATTGATCTATATGAAGACTCTAATGAGGGGGAAAATAACGAATTTCCTATTTTTCACAGACATGTAGTTTCAAAAATTCTACGTTATCAAAATTGCCTTTTCAATTAATTTTGGTGCCAAATATGTGCTTCTTCAAAATTTCAAAAATCTTAGCAATAAATATTTTAGAATTCTACGAGATTTTATCAACTTGTCAGTTACATTAAAACCAATTTACTCGTCGTATTTTTCATTTCATTGTCAGTGAATCTCGCGCGTGATACACTTCATTGTAACGCAAAACGATACTTTAATTCTTTCGATTCGACGTCGCAGGCTCTGCACTGAGAGAGAATCCCCTGCTACCGGACTCCCAAATCGTCGGAGGAAGCCAGGTCGACATAAGGGAGCATCCGCATCAACTGAGTTTGCAAACAAGCTCGCACATCTGCGGTGGTTCAATCATTAGCAGCAAATGGGCCGTCACTGCAGCACATTGCGTGGGGTAATAACACGAATACGCAAAGTTAACCGTAACGCGTGCACTAAGCAACCGTGAATAAACGTCTGTTTTACATTTGGCTGTACAGAGGCCCAGGTATGGATCCTTGGGGGCCGAAGCGTAGTAATCTCGACTTTAATTGCGCTCAACGAACTTTAATTGAATTTAACCTACGCGCGTTAATCTGCCGGCTTATGCCGTTAGAATCGATATTCCACGCGCGAGATGATAAAATTAATTAACACGATGGCCGTTTATTGCGGGAGGAATTTCGTTTGAGGGGTCCCCTGCACGGGACACTGCCAGGAATGTCCGCGAAGAGAAAAGAAAGTAGTTGCGTTTGAAATAAAATCGAGATGTTTGAAATAATTACCGGCGCATGAGATAAAATTCATTAGTCGCTAGGAACTAGTCACTTCAAATTTTCAACTCTGCTCTCTTTTTCAAAAGAAAAAGAAAAAACGGAATGAAATTTCGTGGAATGATCGTAGCTATTAAAATTGAATTCAACTACTTTTAATCGGTGATAGATTTTATTGTCGCTTGTGATTTTAACTTGCGTTCTTCGTTTTACACGATGAATCCTACATTTACCGCAATAATAACACAGTAGAAATTGAAATTAAAATCAGATACCGGACAAAATGTGGATCAACGCACATTTCGCACAATTTGTGGATTAAAAGTAAATTCAACTCAATTTTCGTATGTACGGTCGCACAATTTCAAATAGAACGCAGAATACGGAAGGACGAGAGGCGAAAATCGGGGGGGTAACGTCGCAATTTCATTATATTGTAATTACGCGGTATTAATCCTGCGAACGAGCTCAATGCTACTTTTACTTGACCGTTCCCAATAATTGAATCCGGCCAGCACCGGAGAGATGAAGTATCATGACACGCTCGCACGGATGATCCGGGTATTCTCGCGCGCATCGCGGAATGTTCACCGGCTCATCACCGGCAATAATTATGAAAGCTATCGCGATATTAAATCGGCTTTGCGGCTCGCATTCCATCCCGATTGTCGGCCGTTGTGCAATAACAATAAGGTCGTTAAACACTGTGCGCATATTTTGGAAAACAAACAGCAAGCATTCCGCTGCATCCAGAGGGAACATCGGGATCGTTGGTATTTTGACGTTTTATCAATTGCAGATCGTCCGCGAGCTCGTACAGAATACTAGTTGGCAGCAGTAACAAAGACCAGGGCACTTCTTACCGTTTGAAACGGGTCATTCGTCACCCTAGTTACAATTCGCGAACCATCGACTTCGACGTCGCCCTTCTGGAGGTACGTAGACGAACAATTAAGAAACAGATTGTAATAGGACAATTGTAGATCGAGAGCGTAAGATAATAGATCATTGTTAATTACCAAAATTATACGTATTTAATTGATTTTTAAATTTTCTTTAAATTTTAAAATTATCCGTTGAAACACTTGTGACATTTAGTGCACGAAATAGATTTTTATTCAGAATTTCTTTATCTACGTTCATAAGAAAATGTCTGTAGTCTGTTATTAATTAATATTAATGATGTGTAGCAAATTTTGTTAGGTTGAGTTAATTTGGAATTGAAAATTTGCACGATGCTGTGTCGGAGTCGTAGAATGATGCAAGTAATTGAGAACGAGATTTTACGTTTGTTGATCAATTAATATCGCTGTTATATATTAATTGAAAATACTTATTCGCGATTAAATTTCCCAATTTATTTGAGTAATTCATAGTTCAGTTTAAAGTGTAAAAATCTTACGAAAGTCAGATACTGGCGCTGTGAACCAGATGCTTCGGTTGTTTGGTTCAGTCCTGCTTACGGGACAGAATTGCCTGATTTAATGCTGCAAAAATTGTGATTCAGATTGATGGTACAATCAGCTTAGGCCCGAACGTGCAAGCTATAAGCCTGGCAAGCAAGGAACTTTCAGCTAACACGTTGGTGAACGTGACTGGTTGGGGTGCGCTCACGGTAAATCAGCGCACCATTTTATATTTCAAACGTGGCGAAAGCAAATGTTTCCAGTCGTTCTAAATTGCGCAAAACGTTTTTAATAATCTGGTCTTTGAAAAAAGAATTCGTACGTCTGTGGTAAATAGAAATAGTGAAACAGTTCAACCACTATGGAATCATTTGCGAATATATATATATATATATAGTTTAACAGTCATTATAATTATGAATCTCTTTTATCAATCGTCGCAGGAAGGTGGATCGGTGTCCCGGAATTTGATGAGAGTATCGGTGCCAATCGTGAGCAAATCAACGTGCGCACAAGCTTATCAGTCAATGAACGCCATCACCGACAGAATGATATGCGCCGGTTACACCGCTGGTGGAAAGGATTCCTGCCAAGGTGACTCTGGTGGACCCTTGACATCGTCTGGAGTCCTCTATGGTATCGTGTCCTGGGGCCGTGGTTGCGCCCAACCGAGATACCCCGGCGTTTACACGAACGTCGCTAATCTACGATCCTGGATCAAGGCTAACAGCGGAGTTTAAGAAAGAAATATCTAATTTTAACTTGTAATTCAAACAGTACTAGTAGTGTAGTAGCATTGTATCTTTGATTCTTATGTAAAAGTCGCTTCTAATATTTTTGAGAATAAATATGATATAAAAATAAAAGAATTCAACATACTTGAGTATTCAGAATATCAGTTTAATCCAGTGTTACGAGATATGCTACAAAAGTGGTACAGTGTGAAATGTGATCGGTGCTTTATTCGAATAAATATAATTTGCGAATAATTAAGAAATTGATTTTAAGGGAGAATCGAAACAATATTACACGTGCACTGAATTTTAACAAGATAGATTTTTAACAAGATAGACATTTGTATCGTTACCAGTATGATTCTTTCATATTTTCAATTTTAAATTTGGTGAAAGTGGCACCAGATGCAATGGATACATAGACTTAAATTGTTTGAAGAGAATTCTACGAGTGTTGGAACAGCTTAAGGTTGGTAATCTTTCGTTTGAAAATGAATTAAGAGAAAGTGACAATGACAATAATTAAAAAAAATAAAAAAAAATACCGTAACTGGCTCGCTAGCTCTTAAATGTACAACTCATGTACGAATGCAAAATGTAAAAAATTTTAATACACAATTAAAGTACTTCAAAAGGTATATAAATTTTACTTAAATTCAGTATATTTTCTTTTATTCTGTGTGTGTGTATTTGTTTTTCTTGCAGTAAGGTTCATATTGCAACAAAGTGAAAAAGAGAATGACGATAGATAGATCACACGAACGTTCTTTTTCTTTGGGTATGTCGTTGTAATCGTAGAATAGAAAGATAGCAATCATCTCGCAAAAAGCGAATAGAATATTGACGTTCGACGACAGATTGACGGATGAAACAGTTTGTTTAACCGCGAAATGCTTTTTACGTTTGGCCACCTTTGATCCCCAGAGCACCACAAACTTTCTCCGATAGTTTATCCAGTTGGACAGTTCGATCAAGATCACTGTTATCGTGATCCGCTCTCGCGTTGAAATTCTTTGAGATGTCTTTTAGTCTACCTTCTCTGTTACTACAATAACTTCTCTTCCCTGTTACTCAATATTCGTTTTTAGTAATTTTCAATTCATTTTGCTATTATTTATAATTACAAATTTACTATCTGAATTACTACTATTGTACAAGATTTTATTACAAAATTAAATTAAATTAAATTAAAGTGAAGATTGTAACTAATTTTCAACATTAAGTAGATAATAATTTCAAGTTTAAGCAGATATTATCTATATATTTCTTTTGTAGTTCAAAATTTTTCATAAATGTTCAAAAATCACCAGTCTAATCATTATTACAGATATTCGTTAAAAATCTGTTGTTCAAAGTTAGAGACTAACATAATTCTTTCAGCTATATATTTACCTAGTAAAATATTTTTTCTATTTACCCAGAAAATTAGGAAAAGAGAAGGAAAGAGACTGAAATTAAAAAAATCTGATTATAAACGTCCGAATGAAGGAAAATAATACCGGTGTACGCTTTATCGAACGACACGTTTCTCGTACTTGACGGTCTTCGATATATTTCGTTTCGTTCAAACGAATCACCCGATAAGAATATGCGTCGAAAACTCCCGCCAGAAAGTTTAGACGCCGATATAAAACGATATAAAACGCGTGCGATCGGACACTCGACAGCGCGCACAAAATACACACGTGATGTATACAAGAAATACGTTTTATCAAGTGCGTCTGATCGATTAGTTGCAAATTGCTCCAAATTGGATATGTGACTAATCTTGACACGATTGTTCCATTATCTCGAGTCTCGATACGATATCGCTAATCGCCATCTCGTACGCTTGTACGGTCGAACGCGTCGACGAAGCTCTTTCTTTTTTTTTTACCGGGAACCTGCACAACGTTTCTTGTTTCTTCTTTTTCTCATTCTCCTCTTTTGTTTCGTCCACCGAATTTATCGAGATACGTGAAATGGGTTCCTTTGAAGTTCGAGCGACGACGCGATGCCTGGACAGCGGATAATGATCGATAACGTCCGCTTATCGCCGAAATATTTGGCCTCCAACGTGAGTATCGACAAACTTTTGACCTGGTTCCACTCTCAATAATTCGACCAGTTACTCGTTGCTTCTCATCGATCGACGTTAAAATGGTTGTAACAACACTGGCTTTATTCTGTGTGCTTTTTGGGAACGGTAAGTTCTATTAACTCCGAGAAGTGACATTGGCGATATTTCATTTGGTATCTCGGGCAATTTTATTAAAAAAGTCATGTCGCTAGGCTGTGTATGAACTGAGGATGGCTGTAAATGTAATTGGAAGATTGTCAAATTTTTACAATTTGAAAGTTTTAATCTTGAACGAGTGTTTTAGCGTCTGTGAATAGCTAGATTTTGAATTTTTATGCACTCGTAGAAGTGTAAAAGCTCAAAATTGTACCGAATGCACAAAATACAGTACCCTGGTGTTATTTAATTAAAATTTAATATTTTAATGAAATATTAATTAAAATTAATATTTAATTAAAATTCAAACACCTCGGTGTCATTTTCAAAATTGCTTTCGCAAAAATATAGAATTCATCGCTTATTTATAATTACAAATTTACTATCTGAATTACTACTATTGTACAAAATTTTATTACAAAATTAAATTACAAAAAATTAAGTTTCATCAGATTTAGTTTAATTAAGTTTTATCAGTTTAATTTAGATTCGTTTCTTATATTTTTCACAATTAGAAACTAATGATGATTTTAGAACGTGATTTTAAAACGTCATATTACAAATATGAATTAAAGGGAAATGTTTTAGAATTAAACAATTTATTCAACAATATTTACTCATTCTATAGATAATTTCATAAACAGAATTTTTTGTTTTCTGTGCAGTTATTGCGTCCGATAACATCAACTGTGCGACTATTACGGAATACCCTTATCACGTAAGTTAAAATAATTAATTGTGCTTTGACGACTACACTCGTACAAGCTTAATTTGATAAAATTAGAATTTGCGTCTTTAATATATACTAACGTGCACTGAACATGTTCTAACAAATATTTGTACGTCACAATATCGTTATTGTACACTACAGTCTCCTATTTTCCCACGTCTCTTGACAGTACACAATACTAATCTTTCCAGTAGTATGGTCGTAAGTATTCAGACCAAATAGAACAGAAATTTAACATTACACAACATCGCGTAATTTGAATGTTATACATATTTTTGAAAATTTTGTTTTACTCGTTATTGTATTTTGCCAATTGTCCACCATTGTAAAATGATTTATTTTGTAACAATTATTATTTGTTGCAAGACTTCGAATCGGTCATAAAGGGTTAAGTCTCGCTGAAATCACTTCGCGAAAACATTTCAAATCTCACGATTATCAAATTTCAAATTGATGACTTGCCGGAAGATTTTAAAAACATTTCAACTTCAATTCAAATAATTTTGATGTCACATTGAAGCGGATGATCACGATCGATCGACAATCCGCGGTAAGTCGATAAGTAAACGAAGACCTAGTTAAATCCATTTCGCAATTTCGAACAGTTTCGAAACAAAAAATATGGTGAATATGGTTTTGGTCGCGTAACACAGGTCTCTATTGAGAAATACGGGGTACACGTGTGTAGCGGAGCATTGGTGCACGAATCATGGGTAATAACCGCGGCGTCCTGCGTTTTTCGGTGAGTATCGTTCACGAGGAATTTCTCGTTGTTCTATACAAATCGCATACCTGCGCGCACAAGCCAGCGAATAACGGAAGGTAATTGCTCGCAGCTCGGAACCGTCCACGGTGACTGTGCGGGCACGCACGTCCACGCTTTCTGTCGGAGGAGATGAATTGGAAGTGGCCAGCATTGTCGTGCACGAAGATTTTGATAAATTCATACTACTGAATGACATCGCGCTTATTAAGGTACGAAACAACTCTCGACTCGTTATCTCGATTTTCGTCGAAAGGAAGACAAATATTTTGGCAGAATTTCGAATCGTGTTCTCCTTTGACCTATTTCATTTCATTTTTAATTGAACCTCTCTGTAATGAGTTTCAGAAAAATACGATTTGATCTCGTTGTTGTTAAAAAGTAGGAATTTAGCAGAATTAAATATGGCTAAGTGAATAATCTCGCTTGTGAACGAACTGTTTAAATTTTAAGCGCTTCGTGTTTTTTTTTTTCAAGTTCAGCTCTAACGTCATTAAATGTAATTTAAAATCAATTTATTTTCGTTATCAGATACCAGAATATATCAGAATATCAGAATGTAGATCTACCACCAAGAATTTGGTGCTTCGTTCCTTCATACATAATTTCGACAATTTGAAAGTGCAATAGCACATGTTGTCACATGTACGAATAGACACAGGTTCAGAAACATGAACCTGTTGTAAGAGAAACTCGAAAACACGAACACGTTTCGATGAACGCGTGAAAAATTCAATAAACGTCTCGCGATGATGTATTAGTGGGAAGTTGAACATGATGTCATACGTCAATGACGGTCACGATGTCAATTCTCGAGATGAAATGTTGAAATTGTGAAGAATAAGTTTTCCAAAAAAGAAAATAATTGCGAAATTCATCGTTATATATACCGAGTGAAATGATTTTAATTTATCGAAATATTTTTCTGGAGCGCAGCTGAAACTTCCCGTACAATTCGGTGAAAAATTGTTGCCGATAGGACTTCCGGAGAAGGAAGACTACATGCCCGATGATGGAACGATGTGTTTCGTGACAGGCTGGAAATACACTTTGGTAAGTGCTGTTTGCCATGTTATAACACTTATAATAAAATAATACTTTTCTCGCGTTAACAGAAATCTGACCGCCGTTGTTCGTTAACTATTCAGTTGTATTTTCAATTCTATGAACTTTGATATGTTATACACGCCATTTTGAAGTCACCATTTATTTTGTAATCTTTTACACAGTAATCGATGCATTTTCTTGTTGTCTATTAAAAAGACATTTAGGTCGAAGATCGATTGATTTAAAATTTTATGGAGTTGACTAAAATTAAGACAAACAAAACAAAATAAAAGTGAAGATTTTTTAAACTAGCCACTCCGAATATTTGCTTAAATATTTCTTACATAACGAAACGTATCGATTAACGAATAAAGAGAGTTCAATAAGTGCCTAATTTCACGATGTTGCCGGTAAAGTAAATCCTTAATCCTGTTGGCAAAAATCCGACAAATCTGACAAAATTATTTATTAATTATCTGGCAATATTTTTAATTTCATTTGATCAATTGATAACAAACATTTCTACAGATAACTGAATAAAATACGACCGAAAATGTGCTGCATTTTCAACATTATATCGCGATGGGAAACGCGTAGCAAACGATTTAAAACGTTCGTTTTATGGCCGATACTGATTATCTTTCTGTGACATCGTGCGATCATTAAAACGCGAGCCCCGTTCACTAAATATTCACTTTCATCTCAATATCTGATTCCATTTCGGCCCTGGTTACGATATCTACCGGACACGTTGGAAAACAAATGTATACACACTTTTTATAACGGCCAATTTTCAATTGCCGAATAAAGGAACAGGTAACAATGCGCGTTTCAATTTCGTTAACGCTCGGGCAACATCGCGCCAACGATATTTCGCGATATTTTCGAAAGCAATAGATCAAACGATATTTATTCTGTTATGAAAGAAAAACGATATTTATTTTGTCCAAAATTCCATCGTTTTAAAACGTTTAAATATATACAAAGGTAACGAATGAATTTCGTAGATAAATATCACAATATTTGCACTTTCAAGTCGTTGTAATTGATCGACAAAGTTGAAGCGAAGAATTATTAAATGACATTCTTTTTCACCAACATGTAACAGCCTCAGGAATTTTATTTCCTACTTGACAAAAATAATTTCCGAGCATTGTGATATTGTTCTCTCTCGAGAGACAATTCTTCCATCCCCTCTTCTCAATATTCACTTCACATTTGGGAGGAAGTTTCCTCAAGCGAATTGTCAATTTAATCAGCTTAATCAAATCGATCAATTTCAAGTTTGTAACCGAAAGGAAATCAAAACATCTTGATCAGGAGAAAGTGTACTACCTAGTAACTCTTCATTCGACTCGGATAATCATTTCTTGCAAGCTTTCCCGTTTTCTTTTTCATTAGCCAAATCGCTTGCTCCAAGTCGCTCGACTAATGTGAACAAGAGTATAGCGGTATCAATCAGACGCAACGATCGATATCCCGATCCACGCACATTAACCATCGTGCGCATCACGCTGGCTGGCCAGCGGCCAGTCAGTGTCTTAGCTGCCCCAAATCACGATGCGACTAATTGATCGATCAACGATTTTGCAGGCGGGTCCGATGGATTCTCAGCTCACGGTGACAGCTGTGCCGCTCGTGAATCAGAGTGTTTGCAGCGCGACGATGCCCTGTTACGAACCGGTGTTCCAGAAGATGCTTTGCGCTGGCAACATGACCCACGGAGTGGAGACGTGTCAGGTAAGATGAAGATGAGAGAACGTGGCCTGAAACCAGGTCCAAGAGGCAGAATGCGGTTTCAAACGGAGATCAGAGACAGAGACAGAGGCACAGACAGAGAGGGAGAAAGAGAGAGAGAGAGAGAGGGAGAATTGTGTGCATTCGCGAGTCGCGACAACCTTGCCACACTTAAGCATCCTGAAGGGTCTGCCAAGGAGATCCCTCGACCTGGCTCGTGTGTGACGACGCCACTCGACGCTTGCGTCTGTGTGCGCTAGTGATACGCTTCTTGACTTCGTTCGTATACGTGCACCAGGATATCCTACACAACTATGGTTTCGAAGTGGTGGAAGATGGAGGACAATTTCATTAGACAAAGTTAAATTTGGTACAGATGGACATGCGTGGAATTTGAACGATTTTAAGGATACCTCTGTCTTCCGAATTGGGGACAAGCATCAAATTAATGCAGAACAGTATGAGGGTCTTAATTAAAAAAAAAAGTAGCTTCATTTTTTATCTGGGTATATATTTTATCTCTTGCCTCTGTTTCGCTTGTTACTACTCAGTAATTTCGATAATTTTAACAATTATACAGAGTCACTTCGTAGATTGGCAAGTTTTGCAAAATAAAAATCGCAAACTGTGAGAGTTCTGACCATGCTAACTAATTTTTATTGACGTTTTCTAGTTGGAGTTTCTCTCTATAAAATCTCAAAATTTCTTTTTACAAGTCAATCGATGCGTTTTTCTTTTTCTCCGTAGAAAGATTGTTAGCGACGAGCTCAACATTTTTCAAATCACCGTTCGAAATCATTCAATTTTGTCAAAGAAAAATTTCTTCGAGTCTCTGCCACTTCATATTTATCGATCTAGTTATGCGAGACACCCATACACCAATACTACGTGTTGCTTGTACAGCACACAATATACACGCGGTCACGAGTCATCAAAAACCATACCACCAAGCTGTTCGCCATGCATGTGGAACATAAACGAGAAGTTCCGCAAGCTGGAGGTTGCTTTGGCAGGTAAGGAAGACGGATGACTTTGTTTTGGCCGGTTATTGTTTACCGTGCGATTAGAGGATCAAATGGAATAGTTGATTGTTCGGCATGGATGATCGAGTGGATATTTGGAGAGAAGTTTGGGCTAATTGCTCGGCGAAGTTTCGACGAAGAAAAGTCGTTTCGAGCCACTTTTTACCATGGTTCGGTGTGAACGATGACGATGAAGAAGCGGCGAATTCCACGCGGTAGTTGAGAATTGCATATTTGAAGGTTTTGAAGTTCTGACAATGAGTTAAAAAGTTCGAGTAGTTTCATAGTGCCGGAGAGTACAGGAGAGAGTTTAGGAAGGTCATTGAAATGCAAATTACCCCTCGTCTGCAAGCTCTATTTCTCTTTTTGACACACTGTTGCGAAAGACTCGACAACAGAAATTAATTCTCGTGGATCTTTCGTGGATCGATTCCTCAATTTTTCTGAACTTCATCGCCGTGGTTTTAGATATTGTGTAATTTACATAGTGCAAGTTGTGTCTCATATGATCCATGCTGTAGCATTCCGGTTTATTTTTAATTAGGTGTGTGATTCTATTTGATGTATACCAAATTTAACAGTATTTAGCAAATTGGTAGTAATGAAATAAATTAATAATGAAAGCTGATAATTTTAGCGATCTCGATAATAATAAATCATTTCCCACTGTTCTTCAATCTTTAACTAAAATTATGATTAAAAACACTTGGCGGAATAATTATTCATTATCTTTAAAATCATTAATGATACTTCATTAAAGTTTCTTTTATTTTCGCCTGTTCGTGTTTCAAGATCTTCTGAATCTTGGAAACACAAAATTGCCAATTCACTGAAGCGTCCTATTTCCAAGATTTTGGGAGATTTTCAATAAAATAAGAACAAACGAGTCGTCGTCGTCGTTTGTTCCTCGTTCGACGAAAGAATATCCGCCGTTTCTCAAAGAGGCCCAATTAATCACGAACGCGATCAATAGTATCGTTAAAAGTCAATATTTGATATCGCTGTTTCTCAGCGAATCGTCTTGCTAACGGTTCGCCGATACGACGCACAAAAGACGCGTCGCGTTTATAAGCAACGTTTGAATACGGTCGGCTGAATAGAAACTGAACATTATTCACCATGCATAATGGAAAATTGTCATAAAGCGCGAGGATTCCTACACGCCACGTCGTTATAACAATAACAATAAAACTCGCCAAGGACGCGACAGAAAGAGCGATACCTTTCGATCGGTTTTTCCACTCGATGATAGATTCCGATCTTTTTCCCCCTTCCATTCTTTTCTTTTTTTTTCTTTTTTCTATTCCTCCCTCCCTTGAATATTTCTCCCCTCCCCCTCCCCCTCCCCCGCCCCTCTTCCGCGTGAATATTTCTCTGTTGAGAATACAATGCCGCGGAGAGATTGTGCAACGCTGCGCGTCTTTTGAAAACGGATAAACGAGTCGATTTCGAGCGAGTCGATGCTCGAACACGTACGCGTCAGAATGGAGAAAGATTAATCGGTATTTTTTAGCTATTTCTTTGTTCTAATTTTAGTGATTTTTCATCCGAGATGAACGTGCAAGATAGACTGTTAGTCGCTATGTTCGAAAATGACCATCATCTTCCGTTCGTTCGGATACTGTTTATTCGACGATTATTATTCATTTATTCTTTGAAATACAGTGGTTCTGCATTTCGTAATTGACTACTAATTTTACCAGTAGCATCTAAATGGATTGAAACTTGTGTTGCGTCGCTGTCCAAGAATTAAGTAGCAGCTGTTTCATTTTCCCTCTCTTCTTGCAACGATGTCATCTCGATTCGAGATACATTACTCGACGCATATTTTAAATATTTATGTAACATTTATTTTAAATTGTTATAGCAGAATATTTTAATGTGATTGGTACAACAGTAGGTATATTTCAAACACTCAAACTCGTCACACTTTTCAATTTACAGATCAAATCGAAGTTTGTATCCACCCTTTATTAGCTTCATTTGCTTTCGCGCAGCATCAATGGAATTGGAAACTAGACAAATAATTCAGATTCGATAGATCTCGTTTTATTTGAATCGCGCAGGAACGGATATTCTAATCGTCTGATTATATTATTGTGCTGTACCAGCAATCAGAGGGCCTGTTTATCCCACAAATGAAGAAACATATAAACACACGCACACACACACACACACATACATACATACACAGAGGAACGGAGAAATCGAGAGAAATGATAACGTGCGATAACGATAGAGCGAAGAGTTGCAAGTAATCACTGAAACTGTCAACCCTCGTCTGCTTGCAGGATGATCCAGGTGCTCCGCTGATGGAAGGGCAGACACTGATTGGCGTTCTATCCTATGGATTAGGGTGTAAAACTATGATACATCCGGGAGTGTACACTCGTGTCAGCAGTTACCTACCGTGGATCTCTGCAAATTCCGGCGTCTACGATGTACGAGATTGATACCCGCCAAACTACAAACGTCAATGTTGCGAACGTTTGTCAGGGACGAGCGGCGAGCTAAAGCCTGCCCGCGTTTTAAAGGAAATGGGAGGACTGGCCGAGGTTTTCCGCTCGTTTGTATTTGGCGGCAATGTCACAAAGCGTAGTCAAACTTTATAAATTCATCGTAGGGAGGATTTTAGCCTTATAGAAATTCAACGTAGCCAGTAACTGCGTTTCGACTTCTGTTTCCTTGCGAGCGATTTTCTTGTATGTACAATTGTACGTTCTCTTCATTTTGTCGAATAAAACAGCAGCGAAGATGCAATTTTTGTTTCGAGAAATTTCTAAGTTACGGTAACAAGCATCGTTTCGGATTTTCAAGGAATTTGAAACAGTGCCCGAAAAATTTGCGAGACGCGAATTAAAGCTGCGAAGAATTACTGATCGCTGAAGGAACTGATCAACAATTTTAAACCGTATGTGACTTAACAGACTGCGGACTTTTGTATAAATTCGTATTTTTTTGGGGATGTAATTAAGAAAACAGAGCCTTGATAGAAAATTATTTTACGCACTAAATCAGTCACAGAAAGCACTCAAAGATATTTCACATGCCTTTCCTATGTAACTTTGCATTTTAAAATTTCTCATAAAATCCGAAAAATTTTATACTGACAATTCACAATGTTGTTTAATTTTCGATAAATAACCAAATCAACTACTTGCTTTTCTACATTAGGACTTACGAATATGTATGTCCATTGATCTAGTTATTATAAACGAGCAACGCTGAAAAGCAACTTATCGCGATTCGCGTTTGTTTCCTTTGGAAATATTAACAATTGGATAGAGACGGATGATTGGTCTGTGGAAAAGGGGGGACGACGAGCCACGATGAACTACGAAACACAATTTATTTATTATCCGATACTACAATCCCAACTCGTGGCGTGATTAAAAATAGAGAAAAGAAAATCAATGGTGATATTTCAGTGTGTCGAGATCAGATTACGCCGCGAGAAAGTAAGCGCGGCTGGTTCTCGCGCTCGTGAAACGCGTTCGACGCTCTTTGCAAACAAAGAGGGTGGCAGGCAGGCATGGCGGCGACGCGAATTGTTTGCAGGAGGAATTTTCGAGTTCGTAGCTGGTTCAATAACGTTTCGTGCTCGCGACTAGGATAAACAGAAAAACGCTCACAGACCGGTTTTCTCGGTGATCCAGCGTCGGAGAACTGTCACGCGCGTGTAAACGCCGGGATAAGATGGCCTCGCGCATCCGTAGCCCCACGATACTATACCAATCAGTTTGTCGTGCTGCACCATTGGTCCGCCGCTGTCACCCTGTCAAAACGACACATTTCTGCGGTGAAAAATTAGAAAATCTCTGGACCAGTTTGTTTCGCGGACAGATTGTGGATGTTTACGCAACTTTTTGCGTAACTCTACGCGTGCAACCAAAGAAATGAATTCTGAATAAAGATTTGTTTCGTTCTCTAAACATTGTAATCGTATACAGTGTCGTTATATGAATATTTTGAACATTTTGTATATTTGCGTGTGTTTCAAGTAGTTTGTGAATTTTTGAAGTCCCAAATTCTGAAAAATTTTTGTTTGAGCACACACAGTACTGATATTAAATACCATTTAATACAGAAAATTATACCTCGTCTACTATAGCTACGTATGTTATTTTTTTAAATATGAAATTGCTCATGATACCGAAGAAATATGTTCGAAAGAAAAAAATGTTCTTTCTAACACCAAATTTATTTAACGAGAATCAACGTTTGTGGCTGTTTATGCATTCATAAGCAGTTTCAAGTACAGAGATGCACAAAGTGTTCATGTTATATTTTTAGAATGTTTACTAGGTAAATTACAGTAATCTGCATTTAGATTTCATTCCCCTTTCATTCAAAATAAGCTAGAATATGAATTTCGACGTCGTTAGATGTCACAGTCGTGTATGTGAAGAAAAATGTCCTTGACACGTTTAATTACTCTTCAAGACACAGTGATCTCTTCATTATTCCAATACTTTTTCCGGTTCAACTTTTCAACTCTGCTTTCTTCCTAATCAAGGTCAATTGAACTAGAACTTCCATAGGGATTACGCATGTTGAAGTCTGAATTAAAGAAATGTTTCACTAAAATATAAATCGCGTTCTCGTTTCAAAGAACAATGGTTCGTTCCTTTAAAAATTAGATTTGTGAAAAAAAAAAAAAAAAAGAAAACAGAAAGGAAGTACGAGCAGATGTAGGTCAAAAGGGCTTGAAAGACCGTGACGGTGTTGAAACGAAGAAGTCTAGTAGCTTAATTGCATTTAGGAGAACCTATTCTTTCGAAGATTAAAATACTGCAGTACTTCGATGCAATTTCTTCGATCATTTATTTTTAATTTGCGTAAAAGCTTCTTTACGAAGTCATAAATGTAAGCAATTTGTAAATACAAAGATCAACTTTCGGTGCCTTGCCTTCATTAGATAATCTTTAACACACAGTAAATTAACTCATATATTTTACATATTTCTGTATCTTCCTAAATTCACAAAATTAAAAAAAGTAGCTTTACAAAAAAAAAAAAAAAAAAAAGAAAAAGAAACAGCTGGAAATAAATAGAAATTTCGAAATAGAATGCAATTAATAATCCGTTAATTTATTACAACACGTGTCCGCTGTAATTATATGTAATTTAAGAGACAAAACGCTATCAAATGGCTACATTAAAACAAGATTAACGGCGCGTTGAAGGAAACTATTTTGTAATCTGGACGTAAATTAAAATGTTCCGCGTTAAACATAGTTATCGAAGAGCTGAAAATCCATATTTTTAATATATATGTACATAACACGTGAGTTGTTTAATTAAAGATTTATACTCTCGATCGAGACCGAGACATTTGCTAGTTTATATCGCGTCACGTGGTTTCAATCGAAATCACGTGAATGTTTCTTTCTCTGGCAATTGCTGAGAGAGATGAGACTGTACTAAAAATTACGCGTGTAAACTGTATTGACACGTACCTACGGGAATAGAACTTAAAATAGATGAAAGATTTCGAACAATTCATTAACTGGTCAAATGGTTAAAAACCACGTTAAATTAACTCCCGTCGATGGAAACAATTAATTACCTGACACGAATCCTTGCCACCGATGTCCACGTAACCGGCGCAGATCATTCGCCGCGTGATTGGCCTGGTTACGTACAATCGGGAGCACTGCGCGCTAGAAATGAGTGGTACTTGGACCTTGCGTAACTGTGTGGCCAGCGGGCCGTTGTTTCTCATAACTCCCCAACCGGTGACCATCGCCTTGCTACCAGCCGCATAATGATCGGCTATCGGTGCCAGCAGGATCGGCCTCACCCGCGTGCCGTACACCAACGGCTTTTCCAGCTGAAATTGTAATTGGTTTGAACGGTGCCAACCGGTTTGAGAGGACAGCCCATTGCGGAATTGATTGTGAAACGGTAATTGAATTCTTCGGGGCTTTATTCCACGGGGACCCGTTAATAAATAAATTTGGTCGATCGGCGATTCGGTTTGCCCTGGACCTAACCTCACTGCCCGTCCTCCCGGATTTCCGTTATCGCTCTCCTCCTCCCTCCTACCCGAATCTGTCGCGTCTTTACTTTGCTCGTCGCGTCGAACTTTCCGTAGATTTTTGTTCTTTCTTTAAGGTTTAGTTAGGAACAGTCTAATCGCGACGACGTTTAAATTTTCAGAGAAGCGACGATTTAAGCCGCGAGGGATTTGCCAACGTTTGATATCAATAAGACATTAGTCGGAACATTCCTTTGACTAATTTGAGCATTGATTAGATATTGGAAATTTTGAAAGATGTTGAAAGATGCTTTTCTTCAATTTTATCCTTCAAATTTTGTGTATCTTCGAATCTATGTGTAATATTCAAATCTACATATATTCTATACTGAATCGACGTAGAATCGTTTCAAACAATGGACTAGAACCGAGACTAGAAATCAGAACTTTAGCGATTCGCTAAACATTCATCACAGTAAACGATTTTACAACCTTTACGTTACTCGCTAAATTCATCGATCAAAAGCTTACATACTTGCTACTCACCCGAATCAAGGCGATGTCGTAATCCGCGGTTTTTCTGTTATACTTCTCATGAACAATAATTTCCTCCGCGTCGATCACTACGGCTGCGTCGTTAGTGAGATCGGAAGTGCCCGCCTTGATCGAGAAGAAACGAACGAAGAGGCTGAAACGGAGGGGAACGTTATAAAAGAACGCTCATTAACGCAAGGTTAATGTACGCGAGTGGAACTTCTGTTTGATGACACGCGTTGATGTGTTGCGTTATCGAGATCGATGGTGCTTGTTAACGAAACTGGGAGAAAGAAGTACGCACCTCTGGACGCAGTGCGCGGCCGTGACGATCCATCTCTCACTAATGATAGAGCCACCGCATACGTGACGATTGTTATATTGAAGAGACACCTGCGAATTTTACGGACAATATCAATTTTGCGGACGATCGAGCGTCCAGAGAACGGCTGTGAAATTCACGACCGGCGAAACATCAAGCCGGCTCGTTAAACGTCGATTAATATTTTTCTTAATATCGAGAGGGGCCGAACGAGCGGCAATTGTTTTCGAATTGGCAAACTCGTTACCGTGATTTCGTGCCGCGACGACGAATTATATCCGCGTTCACGCTCGATTATTCCCCTGTCTCCGCGAGAATTTATAAGATTTGAGAATTAAGTTGCAAATGAGAGACGTTTGCGATATTCATCTTCTTATTTAATTTAATTTCAGAAACATTAGAGAGCAAAGGTTTTGTTTAAACGTTTGACGAAAAATTATTCGAATCTCTAAGACTCTCCTGTTTTATCGATAAGTTTATAATATCGAGTTGGTAGTTCTGCAATCACAACAACAAGATATTGTACATTTCATCAACTAAACCGATGACATTGTCAGATCAAAAGTAGACGTAGATACACGGCACAAGATATTTCAACTTACCGCGAGTCTTTAGAAAAAATATAAAATATAAAATTCGTGAAACAGTCAAAGTTTCAATTTTTCCTTGGACGACTAACTACATAAGAAAGATGAGTATCGTTAATTTTACTAGCGTCAAAGAAAGGAACTCAAGATGCTACGACGAAGAAGAAAGATGGACTCAACAGAGGAGCTTTTTTTTTTTTGCTTGGAAGAGGTAAACGAACGGTAAGCTTCGTCGATCCACCATTCGTTGTGCACACGAGGATACATCGGTTTTAAATGGGTTGTTTTGGCGCAAAACGCGAAACGAAACGTTTCCACTCGACGGATTTTCACCAATTAATCTTCCCCTGCTGCCCGGTTGCGGGGACGATCGTTTAGAATACTTACCTGATACGGATGTTCGTCGATACTCGCTGGCTGGCCTCCAACAATACGACTCTCGTCAACTGGAAGAATCAATAGTTGAACTCGCATTTCCACGTGTATGCTCGTTGAAAAACTACTAATTAAAACGCGACGTTGCTCGGCAGGTTTCCACGGGATTTAATGACCTCCCTTAAATCGAGAACTATCGAACAACCGGCACTGAGACAATTGCACTTCGCTGAAAACACCGAGTGCTTAAATCGATTTAATAAGAGATCAGAAGTCGAGCGATACGGAGAAACAAGAATGACGATATAACTCGGCGACAGGAGAATTTGTTTTATAACAAAAAGTTATAATACTTGTACAGTATCTACAATTGAAATTCGTAGAAGTTTCTAAATTCTAAACTCTGAGTTTCTAGTCGGTTTCAAATCAATTGTTCTAAATTAAAAATCTCGAAATTCTGCGCTAACTTGTTCTATTAAATGCAGACTAAAAAAAAAAAAAAAAAAAAAAATGATATTTAACGATGTTTCCTGTCATAATAAAATATTTCGAGAGTTCAAAGTGATTTTTTACGGTGGCGTACGTACGATCCATGGGAACGGTCTGCGAGAGCACGATTGGAACGAGCTGCAATAACAACAGCGACGTATACATGGCGGGAACTTGACTAAAGAACTACCTGACCACCATCAGGCTCGCCCTTCTTTTATTTCGATATTCGGGTTAATTGTCGTTCGTATCAATTTGCCCCAACACGAGAAAAATTTCCGATCCACGAAAGTCTTCAGAACTGTCGACCTAGATTCCGCGCCGATTGCGTAAAAGCGGCGAGACTAAAATAAAATTTCAACGCCGTGACCGCCGCGATAACATCATTCCTTCTGGTACGGACTAATTAAACGAATTTCTTTTTTATCGTTTCCTTCGAAAAATGCCGTTCGTATGCAGGCGAACAGTTTCACGATTAAACTTGGAGTGGATCGATTTATTTACGACGTAGCAGGAAATCGATAATTTTTGCCGGTAAGTATTTCACGTGTTTGTTTTTAATAAAAGTTTTCGCAAGGGTGTGTAAATTAGGATAAACGGGCCAGACGTTGTGATATATAGTGTTCTGGAAATTTCAGTGCATATATATTTCGTTATTTTGCAAAGTGAAACTTGAAAGGCTTATTTTTAATAATTTACTAAACCTGTTTTTTTTCTCCGAGACACGTTTTTCAAATATCAATCATAAATTAAATTAATGTACGATCTAAAATCTCGATTATAAATTAAATTAATCTCGATGCAACGCGTTCTGCTCGAGAAAACTCGTGTTTTGCTTGAGAAATGTTTCTAAAATCTCAACCGACGAATTAAACCGATTCGAGTGAAATAGTAAAGACACACGTGCATAATTCAAAGACCGAAAGTTTCACGTTGTACAAATGTACGACGTTGACGTTCGAGATACAGTTGCACGCCCGACTATACATACTATACGCCCCGTGAGCCAAGTGACTTGGAACGTCGCGAGCAACAACAGCAATTCGACTCTCGTTTAAGGATCTCTACCCGGCAGCGTACCCAGTCCGCTGGGATCCGAAGGAAAATTCGAAATACAAGCAACGTATCGAATAGTCATTAGGCAAGTTCGGTGCACGCGATGCAGAAATCGGCGAACCGGCAGGCGAACGACAGACTGTTGTCGAGAGGATATCGATTGCTCGTGGAGGAGGGAACGTAAATGCCCCTCCGGTTGCATTAGTATGCCGTGAGCCTGGCATGATTCTTACGAACCGGCGCAAACCGGCCCGGGATAAACTCTCCTTTGGAATCCGGGGGCTCTCTTTACGAGAACGAAGACGCCGATCAACGCCGGCACGTACAATGGCGACGCTCGTTTTCGCGCACCCTTTACGAGTCAGCCACCTGTGCAAAGCTGCAAAACCGTTTATACAACGGCTCGCCGACCGAACGTCTCAAGCACGTCCCAGTCACTCGTAAAATTAATAATTCCCGATAACGAACGATCTCCTATCTACGGGCGAGAAAACGTGAGAACGACTGGAGAGAACTTGCAGGTCGCTGAACGTTGCCCGCGCGTGGCGTGTTTGTTCGCAATTCTGACAAGGAAACTGTCCAATTTATTTGTATACTTGTTTTATAACTTGAGATTTATTCGTCCTTTGATTCTGAATCTGATGGGATAATTTTTCTGACTTTCTCGTTCAGAGCTGTTGAGATACTTGGGTATGATAAATAGAACTGTGTATATTATTTTAAAAACTGTGCTCGATCCATCTTTCTCGAACTGGAGTGAATTATTATCGTTATTGGGAAGTAAGTGGGAAAAAATTCCTCTCGGAATAATTAAGAAAAATATGAGGGTTAATTTTTACGTTTGTTAATTACGATATTAATTTTACGATTAATATTGATTTTTAAAGTTATTAAACTTAGCTTTAAAGAAACTGTCGCTTGACTACTATGAGTCGCGAGTATGAATTTTAAATTTTCTTCTCTCGTATTTCTCGAATTTGCAACATTTACATAGATATTCACGCAAAGTCTAGGTGAACGTGCTTTGTAAAATTAAATTACGGGGGAATATCATAACATCATTTGCATTTGAATATAGAATAGGAACGAGGCATACGTATTCGAACTTCTGGATTGAAACAATCGTCAGCTCAGAGAAACTTAGAGTGCGTGTTTGAATAAATGATATTCATGCGTATAATTTACTCGAACATGTCGCAGTGTGCATTGTATTGTGACAGCTACTCGAACACAAATTTTATTCATCGTAGCGTGAATTGAACTTGAGAACATTTCTGCATAAATTGGACGTCGTTGCGCGCCGCACGTGTTTAACGCGGAAAACACGTTTTCGCTTTTAATTCGCAGGTGATTCGTTTTGAACCTGCAAAACGCCTGTTAAAGAGGATTAATGTTGCTCGGTAACAAACGATCCTTTATTTATAATTGCCATTATAAAATGCGTTTCGTGAATGCGGGAAAGATAAATTCTCGCGTAATGAGCGAAATTTGTAAATGTATCTTTATATTTAAAACGGGTTTTTCTTTTCGAAAAATGTGGTTGAAATTCGGTAATCGTTGGCATATTTTAATACGGGCGCTTGTGCCGTTTCAAAAACTGAAAGCTCTTTGCTGATTGCAAATCAGACCTCTATGAATAATTGAGTCTTTGAAACAATTGTTGTGAAAAATTAATGCTCCCTTTTAGTTCGTGATACCTCTCTCTGTCATCAATGGAAAGCAGTTCAATAATAACGAAAAAATTAAATATGAAACAGTTAAAGTAATTTACCATAATATCTATAAAAATATCATAACGTTATTTAGAAACTTTACTATTACGAACGGGTATAAAATATTTTGTCAACCAAGGATCAGAATTATCTATACTGCAACACGCGAAGGAAGTGATGCAAGAATCAACAAATCCAAACTAAAATTAAATCGCAAATTAATCTTTCTATTTCCTTTAAGACAATCGAATTTTTCCACTTTCATTTTATTATTTTTCAAATATTTCAATCATCTCGTTGTTCTCTGAATAATTCGTCAACGTAACGATGAAATCGTTTCTTCCTTTATACACAACAATTCCTTTCCTTCGCTTCAAATTCCTAATCGATCACGTTGTCGCAGACTGTAAATTCCTCTTGGAAAGTTAACGGACACTCTCACACAGTTGAAGGTTTTTCGTGCTAAGCAGCACCGTTTCGCAAAGGCAACCGTGGCGAATTAATTATCACGGCGAATGGCTTTTATTGCTGTTTCCGGTTCCACCGTCGTTGAGATAATGTCGTAAGCGCTCATCGATACGGCTCATTCGACGGCACTTGAAATTGCGCAGCCCTTCCAAGAAAATGAACGGTATCGCGACGTCGGGCGCGGTTGCGCCGATCCGATAGAAAGTAAATTGCTTGATCATCGTATCTCGTGACGCAAGAAGCATTAATTGTCTCCAGAACGACCGCGAAACACCTCCTTCGATATAATTGATCGGCGCTGCAGACGCTACTGCATCCCGTCGCTTAATTGGCATCGTATATATTAAGAAACGAATATAAGATAATTCTCACTTGCCAGGCGAAAAAAGAACGAAAATAATTACCATAAATATGAACACACGTTCGTTACCAACGATAATTCGATAATTAACAGCTCGGAACATTTGATGACGTGTATTCGTTCTTGAACGAATTGTATGTAAATTGTTATCTTTAATGTGGTATAATGAAGATTATATTGTGGTCGTAATATTGTGTATAATATTGTAAGATAATTCGTAAGGCAATAAGTTTGGTGAATCGTATTTATTGTCATATATGGTCGAAAGTTTTTGGTACACGTTCTTTGGTACGTGAAATAATATGTGTATACATATACGTAGATTTTCTAACATCAATATGATTTTCTTGTTTAAAGTGTCTCGTATGCTCTGTACAGTTATAATATAGAAAATGAACATGCAGTTAAAAAGTATGCAGCAATCAATGCAAGAAATCTGAATACAGTAAAACTTTTGCCCGGTACTGTATATTAAAATATTTTCTTGTACTTCTAGCTTGCATCCTCAGAAAAACATAAATAAATGTGAATAAATGTACTTGTGTTCCTAGTTGAATGAAAATTTAGCAACAGTATGTACGTTTCTGTTAGTCACAAGAACAAAAACTTCGAAGTACGCTTTCTCTTTTTGAAGAAATAACAATTTCAGTTCTCAACACGATGCCAATTTGATAATTTTATCGTTCGTCCCGACGTGGAAGAAGAAACGTCGAACGTTGAAATTGAATCTGCTCGATAGATAGATGCAAACATTCGTCCTCGAACGTTTCCTCCTTCAACGCGAACAAACGTTCCAACGAAAAAAAATTTTAAACAATTAGCGCCGGCAGCAAACGCTGACACGATTGTTTCCCCGTTCCAACAATCAACGTTCACCATCGTTGCGATCAAGTAATCTCGTTCGAGGCACACTTTTCATTCGGAAGCGTAACCATCCGAAAAACCGTTCGTCCATTCTCCGCCATTAAGCTTAATTCTCGCGTTAACTCCCGCGAGCGTGGGGATCGTTTGGGATTTTAAAACGCGTTAACTGAAATTTAAACGCCAGTTGGCCGCTGCTTCTCGAAAGTTTTCCAACTTGCCCGAGCAAATTAGCTGAATTGCGGCGCGCGGTCGATTGTTGTTGAAAAGCAAAGAACAATTCCTGACTATCCACGGAATCCACGCGCCACTGCGAGAGCAATGAAACGCGTGAGCGAGAAATTTCATCTCTCGATATTGCGCCGATCGGCTAACGGATATCGAGAAGTTGCATTTCACTCTTGGGAAAATGGGAGTTTCGCTCCTTGGAGAAGCTCGGACTGTATTCAGAATTATATTTATAATATTTTTCTTAGAATTGTGTTCTATTCAGAGTTACAGTTGTTAACATTACTTTATTATATTCGGAATTATATCTTCGTTTCTTAGAAATGAGGAATTATATCGACAGTCTCTGTGAAATATGTAAGTGCTTGCTAAATAGCTTGTAATTTCTATGTATCTCAGATTTGTTCCAAATTTTACGAAAATAATCACGGTAGTTGTGTCTTAATGAAATCTCAACGCGTAATATAACACACAATGTAACAACATTTCACTCTTGGGAAAATGGGAGTTTCGATCCTTGGAGAAGCTCGGATTGTATTCAGAATTATATTTTTCTTAGAATTGTGTTCTATTCAGAGTTACACTTGTTAACATTACTTTATTATATTCGGAATTATATCTTCGTTTCTTAGAAATGAGGAATTATATCGACAGTCTCTGTGAAATATATAAGTGCTTGCTAAATAGCTTGTAATTTCTATGTATCTCAGATTTATTCCAAATTTTATGAAAATAATCACGGTAGTCGTGTCTCAATACTATGTTAATGAAATCTCAACGCGTAATATAACACACAATGTAAGAACATAACCTATTCAAAAAAGTAAATGTCCAGATACTTCCGTGAGTTACTGAATATATAAACTCTAAGATATTAATAATTAATGTTATAAATAAAAAAGGCACTTATTTCTTAGAAAATATGATTCAAACTCAAGGAAATATAAGCTATATATTTCAACAGTTTTCATGTTCACGCATGATACAAAATATTATTAACTTATAATTGTATTGGTAAAGTTTAAAAACAGTTTGGGAATATACGTAGAAATCACAAGGCATTCATTGCAACTACATTATATTTTTGCAAAGACCGTTGAAGTATTTGAAGAATTAGTTATCCGACGAGACCGGACCTCTTTAATAACACTGCTTCCTCACTTCGTGTTCGTCGATATATTGTATTGGATCTTAAATGGATCTTCCAATCACTAGGAATTCGAACTTTATTAATAACCAAGTTACTTTCGATCCTTCGTAATCCTCTTCTCGCAACGCGGAGAAACATCGCACTCGGTTCCATCAGAACGAAGAAACGTAACGTAACAAGAAACAAAACCACGAGAACATTCTCTTGAGTTTCTCCGAGGAAACAAGACAAACAAGCAACGTTACATTTCTCGAACTGATGAATTTAGATTTTAGTGGATCGCACGGTCCACGGGCTGCTTGCAATTCTCTGCAAAAATTTTCGAACTCGCCGAATTTACTTTCAATTTGGCCGAAATTTCGAGTGTTTACAAACCAGCAGCAAAATTACGCGAACGCTCGCAAAGGAAGTCCTTTCAATATTGAATGTTCCCGCATCTATGGCAAAGTCTGCTAGATAAGCCTCGCTGATGAGCCCGTCTAGCCCGTCTAACTATTTTCATTTTCCTTTCTCTGGTTGGTTCAAGTATGATTAAAATCACATCGAACGGTTCGACAGGCAAGCAAGTATGCATACAAGTTATTAGATTGACAATTAAGAAATTTAATCAGTAACAGGCATTTTAATATCCAATCTTTTTCCTTCTATGAACTTTTTAAATTACGGATATTTTGAAGAATTCAGATACTTTAATTTTTCATCAAACAAGATTTATTCTTTTGACGGAACGAAACGAAAAATACGCATATATTAATCGGTAAACGAGGGAGAATTTTTCCCGTGTACATTAAGATTAAATTACAAATTTGATGTAATAATTATAAAATAGATATTCCATTTCATTGAATCGCAAAGTGAATTGACGATGCAAATGATGGAATATTACAACTGATACGTCCAGTTTCAGAGCGATCGACGAGAATCACTGCTCTTCTTCTGAAGCTACAATTTGCTAATGCCATATTTGTAGATTTAAGATTTACAAGATTGTTACACGAAAAGAAAGATTATTCGTACATTCGTGTCCAGTGGAAAGATGTGAGAGAAAGTTTCGCGCTAGTTTCCCCGTTTCAGGCAATATAACACGCTCTCCCCGCGATTGCAAAGGAATATAAATCTCTTCCTAATATAGTGGACGCCGAGGGACATTAATTTCACACTTGCGCTTTATCCTTTATCCATTGTCGTATAGCAGACACTCGCGTGTATACTCCGGGATATTGAGGTTTCGCGCAACTGCCATACCAGCCCCAAGACACGATGCCAATTTGAACCTTGTTGTATACTAATGGTCCTCCAGAGTCGATCTGCGACACGTGATTAAAGCTTTCAAAATTTGTCCGCACGTACCGCAACAGTTGTATGAATGTATGAAAAAAGAAATTTCGTTCCTCAGGTTTTTCGTTTGTCAAAACGAAACTGACTACGAGTAAATTGGAGTATTAGTTTGATTATGGATGAAACTTTGGAGTTGGACACAAATTCGAAAGCGTACAGTTGAAATTGTGCAATTGTGTAATATTGAAGTTGAGTTTGATACACTATGTTGTAATGTATCAGCCGAATTTAATAAACTATGTTACAGATAAAAGATATCTGTAATTACTAAACGAAGCATTTTTATACAGAGTAATTTTTGGTGCTGTATAACTTCGAATCTCTCTGAAGTTACGTACCCTATTGTTAATTTTAGAAAAATTACGAGCAATGTTTTTACTTTGAAAGGAAAGGACTTTATTTTTAAGAAACTTCCTAAGATTCGAATAGGTTCTTTTTCTGAACCTGCGATGACATAATCTGTTGTAAAATAAAGTAAATTTTACTAACAATAAATTAATGTAACACAAAATCTTTTTGTTAGGCATCGTATAGCAAAGACAAAAATTTTATCAATAGTGTTCACTTCATTGCGAGAGAGAAGAATGAATTGTCCAATCTTTGGTTTCCAACTTATGTAATTAATTGTGGTGTCTCTGACAGATGCTATGATATAATCATATGAGATCACGATAAGAAAAAGTTTTTGAGAACTTTGACAAAATCTTACTTCTCGATATCATCTTTTGGTAATTAATCGTTGGTATCACTTGGATCATAATCGTATCTTATTTTCCATTTATTTAAAAGAGCGATGAGTTTATATTTGTCAAATCGTTATCTATCGAACTTCTTGGGAAAAATTCTTATCTCAGATTTCTTATGATGATAAAATTAATCGAATCGAATGTTATATAATAGAAATTAAAATCGATACTCCGAAACTATTTAATCCAGTATCCATTCATATACATTTGATCCAATATGATTCATTCATGTAGTTATTTAATCCTATTCGTACGTACAGTTCGTACAATTTTTCTTTATGATATCTAATAATTAACATCACCAATCGCTCAGAAACTTTTCTACATAAAACTCATTTCCAATATGTAAATTTTTCATATTTTTATGAAAACATATCCCTATATGATCTGTAATAAGAGATACCTGATGGAATACAGACGTGAAAAAATGAAAACAATAGCCATACGTATAAATGCATAAACATTCTCAATCTATTCTATAAAATTCTACGAATCTACCATCAAAATCTATTATGAATCTACTGTCAATCTACAAAACGAGCAATAGAAAAAACACTCTCATAAACTTACGCTACAAGCGTCTTTGCCTCCACTCATAATGCCCGCGCATAACATGTTGTCGGTCAGCAGATTGCCATAAATTTTCTTGCACGTCGCCTGATCGACGACCGGCAACGTTAAAGACTTCAGCCTGTCGGATATCGGACCGCCTGGCTGCAAGTACACGAACACATGAATCGAAATATTATCACACCAGCACATGTGAGAACTATATTTCTACTATATATATGCAAAGCATCTATATAAAGCGCAATGCAGTTCGAGGCGATGCAAACCTGCGCGAACCGCAACCGAATATTTGCCATGACGAGCGAACACTGTCGGCCGATCGACAAACAAACCTTAATGTTTGCGCGAGTTCGCACAGGTAGGCAATCAGTCTCGGCGTACGTCACCGTTGACCGAAGTATCAGGCCATCGTGTCAAACACGGGTTTATCCTGTGCATTAGCTGTCGGAACGATACAGGCTGAAATGGATGGCCGAGAACTTACCGCCACGTAGCCCCATCCTGTCACCACTGCTTTTGTTCCGCCTTGTATCGTGTTCGCGGAAGATGCCAAGGCGATCGGTTTTACGTTCGCGTTCGTCGTCACGCTCTGCGGTAACTATGATATTAATATTCGTAATATTAATTAATATTATGCGGTAATACGGATATTGTCTTCAATGTCTGTACTTTCATGGGATTTTATTAGTCACGTACGTGTGATTTCACGCGAGGAACGTGATTTCGGATTTTGCTAGTTTTTTATTATCTTGTCGAGAAATACGTTCTTGTTGTATATACTCTAAATTATGTGGCTGTTCGATTTGTGTGTTGCGGGAAAGAAGATAATTTTGAATTTAGAGTGTTTTATGATCTGGTTTCGTTTCACAGAGACTGAATATGTCTATAAAATACTAACTAAAGATACAAGATAAAAATTTTATATGACGATAATTTGAGGAAATGCTCGAGGAACTTGTTCGATTACAATTCAGAACGGATTAGCGAAACTTTTACCAAAGACGTTATCTTGTACCTTTCAAACAGCAAAAGGAAACATCTGTCGGCAATTCATCTAATTAATACGAACGAAATTGGATGTACACATGATTTATCTTATCTGAGTTAATCTTTTTGGAATTATGTTTCTATTCGATTAAGTTGTCGAGATGATTCATTAGAATTTTTCTATATCTACAGTGTCAAGCTTCCAGCTAAATAATGTTATATAATAACATTACATTGAGTTACACAATATTACGAGAGAATTCTGAATCGTATTGAAGAAGAAACACAGAAACATACTTTTATCAAAGCGGCATCGTAATCCTTGGTATTCTCGTTGTAATTCGAATGCAGAATCACCTGAAGTTTCTCAGTGATCATTATGCCTTCTTTGCTGTTATAAGAGCTACCCAGACGAATTTTAAGTTGCGAGGGAGGAAGTCTACAAATTACAATCGCAATTAACCACTCACGAATTACCACTCTATCGATTAAAAAATAATAGCAGTAAGCAGTAAATAAATTATGAATTTTTATGGAAATTCGTGTTTCTGAAATTGTTTCACGTAGCAAATATTACCAGAGAGTATCATACTCTCGACGCTTTGCTCCGTATCACGAGACCCTGCAATCTTACGTACTTTAATTTCGCAGAAAATGCACAAAAAGCCTCGGTCTGTTAATAAATTGTTTACTTAGCTGCCGTATCGTTCGACAACCCGATCTGCACGTACCCTGACACACAGTGTGCCGCGGTTAACACCCAGTTTTGGCTGATTAAAGAGCCACCGCATAACAGCTGCCTCCGATCGTGAATAGACACCTATTGTAGAGAAACGTTTGGCATTGGATCGTTATTTCGATATTATAGCGCCGGATTAGACGCTCGGTTCGGATTACGCCGAGGAGTTCGACGCGGTATTGCTCCCCGTATTTAGGCGATAAAGTCGCGTAAACCGTGATTAATTCACCTGATACGGATAGTCGTTGATGGACGCGTTGTCTCCGCCTATAATCCTAGGTCCGAAACAGAGCGCCTGCTGCGCCACGAAGAGCAACACCAACATCCGCAACATGGTTCCCGATCAAGAGTCCAACAACTCACTGTCTCTGGCTATGAAATCAGAGCAAGCAAGTCCATCGCGAGACTGATAAGCACCGACAGATCCGATATCGACATTAAAATATGTAGTAGTATGTACATCGATTGGCGTTGTCCAACAGGCGGGCATCGTCACGCGAGCGCCATCACGCGATCGCGACGAACTTTAATCACGTTTCCTCCCCTGCTTCCTTCCCCACTCTCCATTTTCTTCGCCTTTGCTTCCGCGGAGCCAGGAGTTCGCGCGAAACTCTCTCAACTTTCTGATAGTTCGCCGGGACTGCGACGTGTCTACGTTGATTGGTCCTAACGGAATTTTCTCTTGGACTTTCCTCTTCCCTTCGTTCTTTGTCCTTCGCCGCTGGTGAATAGAAGCGGCTAGACGCAAACTTGCATTCTCCGTTTCCAGTTGGGACAAGCGCCGTGAATCAAGAAAGAAAGGGTACCAAGAGTTCGCGAGAAGCAAAGTGGCAGAGCGAACGATTGTATAGAGGGAGATGATTAATTGGTTTTCTTGAGTATCAACGGAAGTAAATATCGGTTTCTGCGATGATTGCTCGATACGACTACGAAAGATTAGGATTATGTTTTATTATATTTTATTATTATATTTATTATGTTTTTATTATAAACAACTCGAGATATTTTTGTTCAAGCTAGATAGACGCGACGATATCATAACATTGTCAATCAACGATAAATTATTGAAGAAAGCGCATCGAAAATATTTATCACTGTTGCTCTTGCAATGATAATTTTCTTAGTGTAAGAAGAGTAATCAACGATACCTGAAATCTAAAATTGTTCCATTTAAGTCTTTCTGGCTGGCTTCACGTTACTGTTGAAGAGACTATGTTCTACTAAATCTACATCTATCGTGAAACGCTATGATAGCCTCGAGTGCACGTTTGATATTATCTCTTAAAATAATCACGCAATACTGAGAACTATACCTATGTAAAGGAAAACAACACGAATAAAACGTGAAATGGGCTTCTTAAATTGACAAAAGATTCACGCGATAATCGGGCAAGCGTTTATCACATTCCACATTCCATCGCGGTTCCGATTATTTCGATCGGTCAATGAATATTGCCTCGTTGCTTCGTTTTCACCAATATTTCCACTTGCGTTTAATTCGTCCGCGGGCAGGTGGATCTCTAGTGTGAATTCCATCGTGGAACGAGCAACGCAAAAATAATATTTGCACTAGCCACGTACCGGTTACGATTTATCCACGCAACATTTCACCCTGGAACGTAGACGCGACAGCGTCCGCTCTCTCGCCACACGCGGAGGGGGTGTCTCTATATAATTTTTACTACGACTCGACCGCAATTTCGATTACTCCGCAGTAAATAAAACTCGGCCCGGAAATAAAACAATTAAAACGACGACAAATGGCGTTCCATTTGCGGCTGGCAAAGCGTATCATTTTTCCTTCTCTTCTTTTTTTTTTTCTATTTTCCACGTTGTAACGTAGCTTGCTCGCACATACACGCGAACACTTGCAAATCTTGTCACGCGTGATAAAGCTTGCGCGAATGAAAAAGAAACAAAAAAAAAATGAGAGGAACCAAAGAGAAAAGATATACGCGGAAACGATCTATTCAAGCTGAACGCACTTTACACCGATACGATACAATGGAGAAGATTTTTTATTTTTCGAATGTTGCACTCGCAAACGCGTCAACAAGTTTTCTAATTGTAAGTCATTGCTGACCAACCGACTGTTACTCTTATATAAAGGTATGTTCAAGATAAGTAACTCGATTTACGTATGTAAAATATTTAATTGTTTTCTTACTTTATTTTATTAAGTTAGCTTACTATTATGATTACGAATAAATTTATTACAACAAACCAGGGAAATAAGATTTTCAGCAAGTATTTTTGGTCGTTTTATGATATTGGTTTTAATACTATGTATTTGCTTCAAATATTATGTAAATATTAAATGAATAATGTTAACAAATAGTACTGTTGTACACTATTACAATTTTACGCAAGAAAAATCTCAGAGAGCTGTTGAATTAAAATACACTTCACTCATTATGTAACAAAGAAGTTAATAAAGTTATAAGTTCTTCTAAGAAGTATCAAATTCTTTTTGTAAGATGTAAGATACGTATTTCGCTTCTAGACTTTTCGTGAAGTTTCTCTCGCAATATATTCAAAATTCACATATACAGAAAAATACAGGTAAAACAAATGATAATATTATTACTTTTTAATAATTTCCATCCAGTGATATCATACCGACGAGCTCAAAAGAAAAAGAAAGCGATCAATTATTGCGTACGGTTCGGTCACTCGTTATGGTCCGCAATCAGTTGCCAGCGCAACGTGGTTAAAATACATACTTTGTTTCATCCAAGCGACAGAAAAAGAACACGTTTCGTTAATTCAATTCTCGGGAGGTCATCGAATGTAACAGTTATATTACATTCGAAGTCCTCACTTGTAAGGACCATATGGAAAACACAATCTATTATTTCTGAAGAACACCAATCTCTTCTACAAAACAACCGAATTGTACGTCGCTAATGACCGAGATGTCGATGCGATATTAAATAAATAAAAAAAAAAAAAAAAAAAAAGAACAGTTATATTCAGTTTTCAGGATTATCAATTGTTTTCCATTATCATCTTCTTTTTAAAGTGATCTCACGATACGTGATCTCACGTTAGCGTCAGACGCGTTAGACGCACGCGCCCTAGGATCATTAAAAAATTACGAATCTCGAACCGAGGTGCTCGAGCTCGTCTCTAAATACATTCCTAAGTGGCGCGAATGGTGAAACGCGGCTGGTTTACAGAAACGCGGACACGTGTTTCGAAGGGTTGGCGGAACGGAGGCAGGAATTAATGCAACGCCAAACGACTCTCGTAAACGTAAAAGGCCAGGGCGGTGGCGTTAAAATTATATGATGGCCGCGGAGCGACGAATATACGGCCGGCCGGCGTGTACATGCATACGTATCTCAAGTGTATTATAAATGTGATGCACGCGGCACTCGCGCAAAGGAAGCAACGCGTATTATATATGGTACGGCCGACTGAGCGCAATGAAAATAAGGCGGCATTATCCTGGCTACGGCGATACGAAAGAGTGAGTGAGGGGCCACGAATAATTCCATAACGTGTAATCCGGCTGAAAATTACCATTTAAATTTCAGCCCCCTCCTCCTCCTCCCTCTCTGGCCGCGGTCACGCAGCGCGTTTCCCCGCGACTGATGGGACGAGAGCTCTTGATTAACTACGCTAAAACCCTCTCCGCTTCGCGTACGACACCTCGTATTGTTTCAGTTTTGTTTCAGCCGGAATTTAGTTACCATTATCCTTCTGACACGTCACGCGAAAACAGGACTCGAGAGAGGAAATTTCGACCGAGCTGAATCTATCGAATGTTGTAATGTCGAAATTCGACGTGCCAATTGCGATCTACGCAGATCGGTGGATCGGGATTCGCCACCGAGTGGAACTCGTCCGGAATTATCTACCTTGCATATCTCGTCTGCGTTTAACGTTCGCCGAGTCAAAGATATATTTTCATAACGTGTTTTTCGTTCGTTGCAGTCGTCGATTCATTCGTGTTTTTATATTTTATTGGATAATACGATGTTTACGTTTAAATATTTACGTTTCGATCGAAAATATCACCCCCCCCCTCTCCCCTCCCCAGATCTCTGTTTACCTTCGAGCTTTCATCGAAGCTTCCACATTAAATTACATTATTCTGTACACGTACGCAAGCGCGGCATTGTGAAGTCGATGTATTATTAAGCCAGGTATATTATACAGAATATTATACAGCCAGTAATGCATTCGATAGTTGATACTTAATACGGATGAAAAATGTAAAAGTAAATATACACCGTGAACTACGTTTTGCAACTTTGTTTCAATGAAAAATTTTAGTACAAAGGGAAAGCACTGGAGATAGTCGTTACATAATTTAGAAATTTCTGCGTCGTAAATGAAAGAAATAAATATTCCAAATTGCCCCCCAAAAAAATATAAATTAGAAATGAAGTTTAATACATTCTATATTATACCGTAAAATAATCAAAAATTATGGTACAATTTTAGTCATAAAATTACTTATATATTATTCTATAACATTTTATTAGGTACATATTAAACAAAACTGTAATGTGTATTAATACAGACTCTGTCAAGAATTATGATAAAAGTAGCAAAAATTTACTAAAACTCAACATCTATATAAAATACAGAATCTACAAGGAATTGCAATTTTAATTTTTATCATAAAAATAGATATACTATAAATTCGACGTTATACTGCAAAATTTCATCGCGTGTGAAAAGTAAATTTAACAAAGTCCCTCTTTGCAAGTGAACAGCCATTATTGCTCAATACTTTGCAAACTTTTCAAATATCAAAATATTCTAGACGAAGCGGGAGCTGGCAATCCAATCGAACTTTATTTCACGTCATTTCACTGGCTGTTGCCAACCGAAATAACAGCGTTTGCAGAAAGATACTCGTTCGATGTGAGCTGCGAGCAAACGCGGCATCTCTCTTGTACGTGAACTTTCTTCCAGGTTAATTCGTTGTAATCTCTTTGAAATTTCCAACTTCTGATACTTGGAATCTACCACGATGCATTGCACGGGAAGCTTAACACGAACATATATACGAACGCACGCGAAACACGTGCGAGTTCCTTAAACACTCCGGAGTTTCCGAAATTCTGGTTTGTTATAATTCGCGGGATTCACTGATAACTATGCGTATGTGTGTACATATATTTTTGTGCGTGGGCAATACGACCGAGAAATACCGAGCAGAATTTCACATAACGCACAAGAACCTGTTGTTGGTTTTTATACTTAACATTTTCATATATGTATACGAATTACGGAACGATTAACGCGTATATTTTCCAATTACCTTGTGCCATATTCCAAATACGTACATTTTCCACTCGGTGTTGTCATTACTTGTCGAGCGCGGTTAAATTATGTTTTACGTTGAAAGTACTAATTTTTACTTATATTACAACGTTACTATATTATTATATTACATAAATTATCCAATTATTTCGTTATCTACTTTTACTTAATTGTTCCATCATTTGCTAATAAATAATTTCCATTCCTCTTAATAAGGCACATTCGATACATAAATCCCCCTTTCCGACAAAATACGCAGACACGTACTGAAACGAGAAGCGGCCGTCGTTCACGCATGCGAACGAATTAATGCGTGCCGCAATGATGCCATTGCGCAAGAGAAGTGATGCACCTCTCTTTATCGTTCGAGCGTTTAATCAACTCGTGACTCAGCTGCGACAGTCCGATCGCTGATAAAAGGGCAAAAGAAGCAGAGAGAGAGAGAGAGAGAGGGAGAGAGAGGAGAAAGAAGAGGTAAAAAGAGCTGGTCGAACGTGTACATCGTATCGGTCGCGATACGATTATTGAAATTACGGTGAACGACAGACAACGATCGTGGGGAGGGCGGGGGACGAGGTAGGGTGACGTTTATCCAAATTTATGGCGGACTCGCGTCTACCTCGGATTACGAATGCACATTTCGCTGCGGAATTCGAACGCCGCGCGCCCGTCCCGCTGAAATATTTTCCGCCGATCCAGTTGGCGAAGGCCGGATGAATAGAGGGTCCCAGTTGGAAACAACCGAATGAAATACGCCAACACGTTGTTACGAAAATCGTTGGCGATAATTTTTGCTCATCGAGAGAGCGAGGAGCGATAAAGCGGGGTTAAATTGCTGCCGCGTGTACGATCGTGCAATCGCCAGCAAGCGGGCCAACGATATCGGTGGAACGGCGCACAAAGGCCGATTACGTCGCGTTTCATTCGCCATTTTTCCCTGATGACCGGAAACGACGTCATTTCACATCATGTCTGCGTTCGATTCTCCGCTCTTCATTGACTCGTTAAGATGGAATTTGCTATGAGAGTCTCGAAGAGTATCCAAGATTCAACTGGTATCGAACATCGAAGCATCGACTACTGGACTATTTTTCTATCGCACTGATAGAAAGTTTCTAAGGAATGTTATTTAACAGGCAGGAGTGTATTTAGAATTTCCATCAGGGATAATAACCTCTTGCGCTGAAATGATGTGCCACGCACGTGGAGAATTGTTTGCCCCAAAAATTGCAATATTTTTTCAGTTCTAAGTATATTTAAGTACAACCCGGGCAAAACAAATAATAAATTTATCACTTCTCAATAATTTCCAGTGATATTACACCGACGAGTTCAGAAAGAAAGCGACGAATTATTGTATGCGGTTTGGTCACTCGTTATGGTCCGCAATCAGTTGCCAGCGCAAGTAGTTAGCCTCTTGCGCTGGAATGGCGTGTCACGCACGTTGAGAAATTTTTGTCCCAAAAATTGCAATATTTTCTCAGTTCTAAGTATATTTAAGTACAACCCGGGCAAAACAAATAATAAATTTATCACTTCTCAATAATTTCCGGGCAAAACAAATATTAAATTTATCACTTCTCAATAATTTCCAGTGATATTACACCGACGAGTTCAGAAAGAAAGCGACGGATTATTGTATGCGGTTTGGTCACTCGTTATGGTCCGCAATCAGTTGCCAGCGCAAGTAGTTAACCTCTTGCGCTGGAATGGCGTGTCACGCACGTTGAGAAATTTTTGTCCCAAAAATTGCAATATTTTCTCAATTCTAAGTATATTTAAGTACAACCCGGGCAAAACAAATAATAAATTCTTTATAACTAATATACTAATAACTTTATAACTAATATAATAAAGTACACGAGCTTTCATTTCTACGAGAAATTTCTAAAAATGTCTAAAAATGTTTTACAGCTATAAAATTTCCAAGAGAAATTATATAGACTGGTCGCTCTGGCCATTTTGGCTGTGTTAAAGTCTGGAATTAATATTTCAATAGCAATTAATTAGAAACATCCCGCGTTCTAACCGCGAAATGTACTCGCGGCAAATTTACACCCGTGTACGAGAGATCAGTCACCCCGGAACAAACGAAACTTTAACAAACTAATGGTAAACAATAAATAGGATACACACGGCGGTGAATCAGCTTGAAACAACCAACCGAGTGCGAACGTTTTCTTGAAACGTAATCTTCCGGTATTGCACGCAGCGATGATCGAAATTTTAATACAAATTTTAATAAAACAATATGGAAGCTTTCTCGTAAATGATAATGGAAACTCTGTTGGAAATTCGCATTAATGCCTTCCCGAACGAACTGGAAGTTGAAATCGAATGATCCGAGAGGAGCACGGACAAGATAATCGAAACGGTGTTTTCAAAACAGTTAAATAAAATTCAGTGGCAAATTCTCGTTATATATGACTCATTAATCGGAATAAACTCCCGAAAATGGGTAATAAAAACATCAGACGAGCAGAAGTAACGAATGTATCCGAGTTGATCGTTGTGTATCGTGTTATATCGGAGCATGTTCGAGGATTAAGCGCGACAAAATTTCCAGCCGAGCCTGAAGTGCGTATGTTAATTTAATAATAAATATCGCGTTACTCGGTGCCCGTTGACGCGAGGGGCACACAAGCAAGAGATACGCGAGTACCTGTTCCGTCTGTCGTTGGCAGACTGAATGTTTATCCCGTGTTAACGATTCGTTTTACGACAACGCGCGCACCGTCACGTGTAATTGAAAATTATTTTTGGGGGACATAATAGCTTCCGGCGCTCGTATCACCGGTGTTAATTAACTCGATGCTTCGTGACGAAAGAGAGAGAGAGAGAAAAAAAAGAAAGAAAAAAAGGAAAACAGGGTTACAAGTGAGAACGATAAAATTGCAAGGGCGTTACGTATTTATGGAGACAGGACGGCGGGCCGTATATTAACCCGACATTTGCACAGGTCAATTAGCCCCCGCGATGAATAATCGTCAAGGGTGTACGTAAAACGATCCTCTCAACACGATGTTGATATCGAAAAGCGATTCTTCGTAGCTTCGCTTAAACGAATGTCCCCGATGAATCCTCACAGACATCGGAATAAATGAAGATTTAAAATAAACAGCGATTCGTATCTGTAGCGATGTTATTAGCACGATCGTGTTAGTACGTTTCTCTCGTGACTCGTTGTGATCTCTGTCGAAAACGCGAGAGAATTTGCCGTCGAGCAGAGTTTTTAAACTTTTACGTGTTACGTACGTCTTTGGAATAATTGCTGCTTATACTTTTATACTGAATATACGAAGATTTAATAATCTAATGACAGAGTTCAAAGACAGTTGAATACAAAAGTTAGGTAAACATTACATTTTGAAGACACGTCTATCGATTTAAAAATGTTGGTTAAGCGAAACTTTGTCTTCTTTCTGTTTGTTATCTGTTTACTTTTTTGCAATTAAATCTACAATTTATAAAAAAAAAAAAAAAAAAAAAGGAAGAAGAGAAAGAACGCTGCAATTGCAACATTGACGCAGTATCAATATTTATTCAATTAGATTAAACAAGCGCTGGAATTTTGCAAGAGTGAACTTTGCCAAAGCGTCCAATTTATGACATGTTGCGACAGAGGCGATCAACGCGTTTTTCAGCGTTGAGAGTTATCTTAATAACTTGAGCCATTTTCTAACCGTGTGCGGAAAACACGTTTATTACGGGTGACAATTTAGCCCTTAATGTCGTAGCCTTAGCTTTAATGTCGAAGCATTAACACCTTCTAGATAAATGAGAAAACGAGACAGTAATTCCTGGAATGCATTGTTTATGCAGAAATTATTTGCGGCTTTATAAGGAACACCCGGTCCCCATGATGATCTCAAACGTGGCCACGATGCACGCACTGCTGTTCCTGGTTATCTTCGATTCGACGATATTCTCCGCGATTTCTGGATATGTCTTGTGTAAAATTTATTTTCTGATTAAACACATTCGTATTTTAGAATTCTTATTGTTGGTGTACACTTGGTGTTGTGCAATTAGAGTTTCGAATTAAATTCGTTTGTCGATTGTGTAAAGTGTTGGTCAAATTATTGGTTGGTAAATTAATAAATTATCATGGACATGTTTGTGATGATCTTAGCTCTCTTAACTTGAAAAATTGCTTTCATATAGAGTAATAATAATGACGCGCAGATAATTAATATATTTAATTATTATACTTATTATAATATATTTAATTATTTAATTATTATATATTATTATATATTTAATATATTTAATTATATTATTATATATTAATATATTTAATCATTTAATTATTATATATATTACCAACATTCAGTTTGTTAATTTCAATACTACTTTGTGTGTGTCTGAAAAGCTTGCGTCTTCCGTATTTTATTAATTCGAGGCAAAAATTAATCTGTCAACTATGAATATTCCAACACTGTTTTTCTACTAATACTAAGACAAAAATAAAGAAATCTTATATTAACAAAAAATTTTACATTAACTCCATTTTATCAATTCCAATATAAGGCGTAGTAAAATCGTAGTTTCTTCAACTCTCCGTTACAAACGCTGCTTCAACACTATTTTCCACATAATTAACCTGATAATTAACCGAAAGACGTAGGAGAAAATAGCGCGAGTGTCTCCCAAAGGAATTAACCGAGCGGACGTAGCAGCGCAGCGCAGCGCATTTATATCGCGCGAAACGCATTAAACGATTCATCTGATTTGAATGTTGTACAGCCGATTATCGAGAAAGAATCGTCTCGGAGTCAGCGGGATTCCCGGGGCCGGCTGAATCCAGGATTATTGGAGGGAAGAGGATCGGCATAGAGGAATATCCATTTGCGGTTAGTATAACGTGCGATCGATCTTCACGGTCGATTTGGCATTTAGGGAATCGTTGTCTTTCTCGTCGCAGGTCTCATTGCAGAACAATGGTACATTTTTCGGTCACCAAGTCGAGCATTTCTGCGGCGGCGGTATCATCGGCGAGAAGTGGATACTAACGTCGGCGCAGTGCGCCCTCAGGCAAGATTAATATCCATATATCGTTGCTCGGGAGCCTTAGAACGAGTACCGTGTTTGTTGCAAAATTGAAAAAAAATGAAACGACATCGGGTTGTTGCATGTGGAATGCCCGATTTCACGATCTTTGTCAGTTTGAAACTAATCAATATATAACGTAATTGGTTTTATCTTTGAAAGAAATACTTTAAGAGAAGAAACAATCTTTCATTTCTAATAATTCAATAAGATTTAATAATAATTACAACTTTGTCTTAAACGTATTACTGACAGAATATTTTGATTATTTCGATTGCTTTGAACTGTAATTTCACAAACTGACTGAGAATCAAAAGCTTTGTAAAGAATTCGGTCACTTCATTTGCACGAATCTATTTTACACCATAAAGAATTTGCAAAATGTTAATATATCAACAATTGCGTTATAAAACACGTTTGCAGTGGAAAAATTCCATTATATACGATAAATAAAGTGTCCTAAGATTTTCGAGCGACAATTACTATCAATTATCGCGTTCTTTACGAACGATTTCCACATGCATACGATTCGTGCAAGTATTCATTTCATTCTTTTTTTTCTTTCTCTTCTTACTCGGTTTTGTTGTTTCGCAGGATACGAGTGAAAGCATTTCACGTGAGAGCAGGCACGTCGCGTTATTACGAGGGTGGTGACATTTATAGTGTCCAAAGTGTCGTGATACATCCTGCCTTTAACGCAATTAATTACGACTACGACGTTGGTCTCGTTGAGGTAATACGTTCTCGCTTGTCGCTTGTTGCTGTGCGTGTCGCCGCTATTTAGTGGCTGTTGCAATTGTCAAGATCGTATCGAAACGAATGCTGAAAGCGGGCAACGGGTATGAAAAGGTGCAATTAATAATTGGTTCGTTGCCGAGAGAATTCATTTTTCACGTGCTTTAAATACGCAATTCATCTCCTCCGGCTGAACGTTCGAATACGTTCGTATTTAACTCGTATTTAACATTACGTAATGGTGACGGTATCGAACGAGCGCAGACAGTTTAAACGTTAAAATCTGTAAAAAGTTGGGCTGTTGATTAATCGTGGCTACCAAAAGACATTTCATCCATCTATTTTTCACCATATATAATTGTGATAATGAGCTTCAAGTTAAATCTCTGTTGAGCAAATTCTAATTTCGAACGTTGTCTAATATACGGGGTGATTCGCGTAGCTTGCACACTTGGAATAACTTTTAAATTATACGTCTCATGAAATGTATAATTCATCTATTTTTCAGCATATATAATTGTGATAATGAGCTTCAAGTTAAATCTCTGTTGAGCAAATTCTAATTTCGAACGTTGTCTAATATACGGGGTGATTCGCGTAGCTTGCACACTTGGAATAACTTTTAAATTATACGTCTAATGAAATGTATAATGTTTAATACAAATGTTGTATGGTTTTAAGGAAAAATATCAATTTTCTGAAATTTCCAAGTTTATCTTTATTTCTTTTAATTGGACTATATTATTTGTTTCATCGTAAATTGGAGGATTATTAAATTCCAAGTAAAAAGGTATTACTCCAGGTTATATATATATATATATATAAATTATAGCAGATATTTCACGTTCACATATATATCGGATTCATCATTTATTATTCCCAATAACATATATCTTTTGACACAGCTTTCGGACAAAATAAAATACGATGACACGAAGCAACCAATTCAACTGCCCAAAATACATTCGATGATCGACGACGACTCGTTAGTTAGTGTTCTCGGTTGGGGTGCGTACCAGGTATGAAAAACTTTCGGATCAACGTGCCTCGAAGCGGAATATAGTAACGCGGTCGTTTATTACAGTTATTCGGCCCCGTCTCGAACGAACTTCTATTCGGCACGATGCGGAAAATTAATAACCAGAACTGCGAAGAAGCGAATGGCGGTGACTTATTAACCAACAGGATGTTTTGCGCCTTATCGGACACCGCTAGACTCTGCGTCGGGGATTCTGGCTCGCCTCTCATTTTTCAGAACAGGTTATTCGGTGAGTTTCAACGTTCGTTAAGAATTCTCATCGATAACAAAATCGAATGAAATACCGAGCAAATACATTTCAATTTATTTTAACACGTTTCTGGCTGTTAACGTATAATTGCAGCTAATGGAATTTTGCGTTTTCAAGTTATTGTTGGACGGTACGTAGAATTATTATGCGCTTAAGCAGCTCCACTAATGCCAGTAATTTTTCAAAAAACAAAAAAAAAATAATCACTTCCAATTGAGAAATTAAAAAGAAACGTTCAATAATTTCATTTCAATTTTCTCAACTTGCGTTTAATCTTGTTATCAAATTTGAAATTTAGGAACGCGATGTTACATCACCTAATTTCTTATATTCACTTCCACTTTAATAGCAGAAAGATTTCAAGTATGTAAATGTATTGATGTTATGTAAGTCGTGCTTTATGTCGATGCTTGTACACGTTCGTCACTTGTGAACAATGTTATCGACATTTATAGGAGTAGCATCGTGGAGCCGATCATGCGACGGCCGGTATCCAACTACCTTCACAGCCATAGCTGAACTAAAAGATTGGATCAGCAACGTAACCTGTATATCTTGATTCCTCGCCTACGAGATTGCAAGGAGATCCATGATGTATCACAATCCACCTCGAACATTCCCTGCATTATAGCGCAACTTTCTTCATAATGTTTTCGAATAACTTCAAGTAAACTGCAGATCTTGTAGCCGTGAATTTTGAAATTGAGAGGGAAAAATAACGAGGGAAACGTGAATTTTTCAGCAGAAACAAATGTACTCTGTCTCTGATACTCGATATCACTGTATAAAATAGGAATTGTAAGATAAAATATGTATGTATGTATGTATCTATATGTAAACAATACATATCGTATATAATACGATCGTGTGACACACGCGGCTGTTTTCTTTGTTTTCCATTCCTTTCACGTAAAAGCGAGAGAAGCTTGGATATAAACGCTTTATTACGCAGCTATAAGCAAATATCGAACGCTGTATGAAATAGCTATTACATCGTAGCAACAGTAAGATTCTCCATTATAGAACACGACAGGTAGTATTTACTTATGAGATTGATTAACAATTCAAATAATTGGTGATATCGATGGAATTTGTCAAGAAACTCGTAGCATGGCAAATTTAGTGTTACATCTGTGTTTAGCAAATATGTCGTTCTTATAAGAAATTAAGCATCTTAGGAAATCATTGTTAACTATACCGAAGACACGGAACTTTATGTGAATGCAGATGAAATGAATTCAATGTAAAGTGAACCACAGATTTGACTACGAACTCCTCTCTGACACAGATTTTACACTTTGGTCACTGATAGTTTCGTCGATTCTATAATAAGATCGTGTCTCCGAAACTCGAGAGTAACAGCGTGCTTTTCCAATCTCTGTCGAATGAACATTTCCCTTCAGTAGAAAGCGAACGAGGCGTCGACAAGAGTCATAAAGACGTAAAAGAGAAAAGACCAGCCGAGAAGTAGAATGTTTTAAACATTCTGTGTTTCGAGGGATTCATCGGAGAAGACACGATAAAGTAGAACGTACGAGACAAAATATCGATGCTCCTCTGCGGTGGAAAACTGATAGAAATCCGTATAGGGGCCGAGGGGAGAAACGTTCGCCAGCGCGACATTGGAAAGACACGGAGAAAGGGAGGAAACGAGAGGGATGTTTAATTTTGTGCCTCCTCGAGACGTCGCGCCGTGAGCTGATAGCTTTCGACTGGCCATTGCAACAATCCTATTAAACCGCAGACACGATCCAATAACTTTTCTGTCACTGACGCTGCTCGCACCGTCCTCCGTTCGCTTGTTATTTTTATCCCGCGACTCGCGTCAGTGGTCATACTCGCCAGCGAACAGCTAAAATTGATCAACGCGTGATTATCAATTGCCTCGACGGCTCAAGTGACGCAATGATTAGTGAGAAAAAAAAAAAAAAAAAAAAAAAAATGATGAACAGTGAGTAATCGAGTTTTCGGTAAAAGGAGAAACATCGGGAGAAATGCAAGAGTATAAGAAACTATGAGAGAGATACACAAGAGAGATATCGCCAACGTCATTGTTAGTTGATCCTGTTATCGAGAAATGGCAGTAAACTTGGGATTTATAAAGTGAATAATTAAATTCAACTTGAAAATATCGGATGTTCAAACATTGTTCACGCCTGACAGTGACGTTTTTTTTTGTATTATTTTTTTAAACAACGACAACGCGATATCACTCTTCGTTCGAGGATACATTTTTCACGGCACGTTTCATCGTTACAGTTACGTCGCTGTAAGAATGAAACGGACTCGCGCTTCCAATCTTGTCTATCAAACATTCACTCGCAACACCAAGAATTTTAGCGATTCTATAAATCTTCAATCCAAATTTCAAACGTTGTAATTTCTCTAACGAATCAGGAATGCAGTGCAAAGGATACAAAATTAAACGGAATAATCAGCTTTCTGTCGTGAAACAAATTCACGGGCGCAAATTGCCAACAACGCGGCATCTACAGTGGGGTGAAGAAAGTGAGTCAATAATAAAAATTTTTCATTGTCAAATAAAGTATAAAAACATGAAAATAAACTTGACTATCTGATTCTTTATAGTCTTAGGAAACTGAAACTATTTTTTAATTTTTAAGATTAGGTTTCTTCCTGGCTGAAAGAATTAAAAAAACGTACAATCAATTTTGCACCAGAGTTTTTTCATAGTTAGATTTACAAGCTTTATCACACCTTAATATTTTGTCCATAAGCCATTTGCTTAGATAATACCTTTAATAAGTCTTGGCACACTTTCAAACACATTTTAAAAAAAACATTTGCCAAATTGTATGCAAAATATGTCCTTCGCTGTAGAAGAAATCGTTTTTCAACATGATCCGGACCCGAAACATACAGCGAAAAGCGTAACTAATTAGCTGCCTACTCAGGCATTTTCGATCTTAAATTGGCCTGCACGAAGCTCCGATCTAAACCCCATCGAAAATCTATGGGGTATATCGAAAAAAAAAATTCTAGACGCATACAAATCTCCTCCCAGCTCAGTAGTTGAACTACATGCTCGTGTTATAGAACAGTGGAATCAAATGCAATCTGAATTCTGCTCAAGACTGTTTGAAAGTGTGCCAAGACTTATTAGAGCTATTATCTAAGCTTATGGACAAAATATTAAGGTATGATAAAGCTTGTAAATCTGACTATGAAAAACTCTGGTGCAAAATTGATTCTACGTTTTTTAATTTTTTCAGCCAGGAAGAATCTTAATCTTAAAAGTTAAACAATAGCTGCAGTTTCCTAAAACTATAAAGAATCAGATAGTCAAGTTTATCTTCGTGTTTTTATACTTTATTTAACAATGAAAAATATTTTTGTTATATGACTCAATTTTGCACTCCACTGTATATCGATATTTTCTGCGTTGCGTCGGAAAGTACAAAGTAAATCATTCCATAAAGAATTTAAAACCTTTTCGATGGTTGCGTCGGATTAAATCGTTGAAAATCGTTTTAATTCTCGTCGACGCCAGGTTGCCGCGACGCGGCACGGCGCGTCTCAGCAAACCGCAGGATTAATCTGGAAACCATGGCTCCGATTCAATAAACTTTCCGACACCCTATCCATTTGCTACGCTCGCGAATGCTCGTTCCACTCGTTCGATTATTTCTCGCAGCGTCGGAGGACAAAGGGGAGAGACGGCTACTACTGTACCACGAGGCTCGATACCTAGTGCTAGCGAAACGAGCAGAGGCGGCTACACTGAAGATGCTAAAGATGAGAAACGGCTGATATTGAATTAACCTTAATGCACCGGTAATTTCGTCGCGACTACTGCGACTACGAAGTTATTATGTCCTAATGACGCAACGTGTATTACGTGCACGTTGCAGAATGGCGTGCGAGCGTTCCCTCGGTTCCCTTTGGTTCGTTTTGGTAAGAATTCTAGCCAAGGGGCACATTAAGCTGGAAAATGTTGCTCTGTCTATCTGAAAGTTGACTGCCGCTGACAAGAATGAGGGAAACTCACGATAATGGTCGCTGTTGACGCTTCAGATGCAATTATTCAGTTTGCGAAGTGCTTTGAGAATTGCTTTATGCGAGACATTTGTCATATAGTGGAATTATATACATAATACATATACAATGTGTGTTTAAAGAATAATAAATTGGTCGTGATTTGCGCAGAGTTTGTCATCTCCTTTGATTCAATTGCATATAATTTTTTTGTTTATCTTCTTCTGGTTCCCTGATAAATGATCAAACTTTTCTTGGAACGAAAGACGAGTGAGATAATGGCCAAACAAGCAAGTAGTGGCTGCCAAGGCGGTTTGGCTAGAGTAATGTTCCATTTCAGTTCCTTTTGCGCAAATTTTTGCGATACCACATTTTATAAGGTGTATATTAACAAATATATTGATTAACGCACTTTTAATCGGAAAAGAAAGTATAATATATACGTAAGTATGTATAGGAAAGTGTATAATTTTGTGGGAGAATTATTTACGTATTAATATCAATACCGAAGAGAATAATTTATTTAAATGTATTTCAATATGTCTTTAACGTTTGTTAAATATGCAAATATATTTATTATTTTATGTATGCGTGAATAATTATTAAACACTTTGCAGTGCGCTTGATTATTTCCGAAAGCCAGTGTATTAACGTATTTAGTATTTACAACAGGTCGAAGTTTCTGAATTATAAATATTTTTGTAGTCCAATATTCTGTTTGATCAACTGTGCTAATACAAGTGGCTTTGCCGAATAATTTACGACTAATATTTAACTTTGCAATTTTATAATTCGAAGGCTGATAAGTGAATATCCGCGAGCGTTCCGAAGATAAACAAATGCGTAATAATTTACTGGGGTCGTGATAAACTTTACAGTTTGTTATTATCAAACACTAAAAGTTATCAAACTCTTTTTATCAAACTCTAAAAGTTATTATCAAATTCTAAAAGTTATTATCAAACACTAAGGGCGCAAGGAATTTAACAATTCATGGTATTATAATATTCATAGAAACTTTTCCTCACTCTCGTTACGTCACACTGGCAAACTATTAAACAAATCTTTATTTTACTTGCAGAAAGAAACTTCGAGGCAGTGTGCAAAGAAATTGTACTTTAATCGAGCGACGAACAAAGTCCATTCAAACCTTCAGATTTTTCATATACATATATATATGCATGTCTACAGTTAAAATTTTTTTCTACCAAAGAAAGTTGTTTTTTTTCTTTCCTTTCGCCGTTTCGCTACCAGAGACACTGTATACCCGAGAAAAGCAAAAGGAGGAAGTGGAGGAGAGAAAATAGTCCGGCGGAGCGCCGGGTTTATCGCGAGCGCGCGATAGAAGAAAAGGAGGTTCCTCCTAGGGCAATGAAGCCGAAATTTCTTCCCGCGGTGGCTCGATTAACCTCCAGAGTCGAGCAAGGGTTGATAATCACTCGGTAGGGGGAAGCAGGTTGCGCGACACCATTCGCCCCACCGCGCAGAATGTATCAGAACGCGGTGTAGCAAGGAAGTGGCACACAGGCACGTTGGCAACACTTATTGCGACAATTTGGCAAGAACCTCGGCAATATTAGCGTTGCCTCGAGTTATCCCACGCCGCCGAAACACATTCACCCGGCTCTTTTCGCTACGTTTGGAACTTAATAATAGAAAACGAAGCAACGAGCGCGCAACGAAGAAACCCGGTTATCTCGCGTTTGGGGTGCTGGTCTCCCGCTGAAGAAATAAAAGAGCGAACAGCTCTAGGT